CGAACTATTATACAAAATGGTTATGTAATTCCTCAGTCGCTACACTTTCAACATTTTAACCCCTTAACGTCACCGAGTTGTAGAATATCGAAACAACCTAATCATATAGGTTACTTCATCAATTGGCTCTACTCCATCTAATTCTAAATTTTCATCGACTGGTGTTATTCCCTTGTGTGAATTTTGTACAAATTTTACAACCAACAATCAAAGAATCAGAGAGCGTGCAAACAAGTTTTTAATGAACTGAAGATTAAATTTTTACACTGATGTGAGAGAGAAGTATCCAAAACTACATTCACTAAGGGGTATTTTCTTCACCATATGTACGTGACTCTGTTAAGACTCTGGTCCACATTTTTTGTGTATATGATACCTGCTGCTAATTAAGTCATAGTGTTTCCCGGTATCACATCCTTAACCATCGACCAACTTACTCTACTTGTTTATCTATATAAAGATTAATTATAGGGCCAGTGCATCTCCCCAAATAGATTTGGATATTTCCTTCGGTCAATTTTGAGTTTATCAAGTTGACTCCTAGCTTCAAACTTTATGTCTTTAGCATCACATACGAGACGGATAAAACACTTGTATGTTGAAGTTAAATTCAGTACGTGGCTATACTGCATCGAATTTTTAATTTGTACCCACAGAAGATAATTACACGTGTGTCTGTTAATCTTAAGACCTGCTATTTAGAAATCCGACGATATCTGTTTTTAATGACAAGAAAAACATTTAAGAAAGATCAGAGATAAGCCATGAACATTAGACGACACGATTAGGATGACAGTGTAGCCATTATGTAATGACACCACGTTTGACATGTGCACCTTAGACAAAAAGGCAGGTCATGAATCGTGTTTAGTGCTGTCAACGCCAAATGTCTATAAATAGTAACAACGGTACACGCTCTCCGTGGTTCATTCACACGAACTTTTTCCTGTATAGTCTATAATTAATTAATGACAATATATTGAAATGCATTTTTACTCTCCTGCATTAGAGGATGAGAAGTGCATTTCCTTGTTCTGTAATATAAGGGAAAGAGTCAGAAGACAACCTCTATTTCCGCTACACCACATGCTAATCTTAGTCACAGTGTTACTTTCGTCAGTTTCTCCGCTTTGTCATAATGCTGAAACCTGAGAGTACAGTAACGTGTATTTTGAAGCTGTATCTGTTCAGTGTATGTAATGACGAATATAAGACTAGGCGAAAATTGATAATTTTATATTAAGATGAAAAAAGACCTCAGCGATTGTTTCCCTCTAAACAGTGTTAATTATCTTATAAAATAATGCACGCGCTACTGTGATATCCTGTGGACACCTGTTAGATGACTTCGTGAAGAACTCTGAATGACGGCACAAAGACTAACTAATTAATATCGCCATTTTTATATTAAGGGCATGTAATTAATTAAATATGATGGTGACACTTCATGTGTACCTTAATGTAATTGTGTGATATTTATGCCTAAAACTATCATAGTAATTATTACATATATGATTAAGATATGAATATTTATGTGGTGTTATGAGAGGCAGAGATAGAATGTATCAGCCCAATATGCCATGAGTCAGCCTTCATTATAAAAACGAAAAAATCCCTAACCCAATATCTAACACGTTTACAGGGAAAACAATCAAAGTGGCCACGCGGAAGGTTATCCTCGGCTAAACAGGTTCTTAAGTCCTCGTGAAATTAAGTCTATTGTTAATTTGTTAAGAAATCGTGATTTTTGTTGTAATTAAATGACAGGAAACACGTGACACTTTAGAAGTGTTTCTCTATTTTCTTAGTAATCTTACTTTTGTATCGTAATTGGGCGATTTTATGCCTTTTTACTAACGGTACTACTTTCACCACTTAAATATCAATGTACGAAGTGGTCACGTGTAATTGTTTCAGACGTCAGGATTAACTCACTTCCATTAAACAATATACCAAATTATATAAAAAAAATACAATGACAAGTTTCAAGGAATACTTGGAACTCACCCAAGATAAATTTGACTTGTACAAAATGAATTCATTTTCGACATGCAAGTGGCTCAAAGTCAAAGAATATATTTCATCTGGAAAACTGGACACCATAAGCCAGCAGTTAGAGTTGTGTCTTATGATAGGTTAGGAACGTCTACTACACATAGATGTCAAGGTGGAACTTTGTCGTGACACATACCAATAACAACGGACACTTGTACCATTAATGTCCTAACATCCGTACCGTTACATGTAACATGGATACGACATGTGTGGAGACGCTGTGTTATATATCCTCTCACACGTGTTACTGCTCTAAAAATATGATCCAAACATATATGTCATTTGAAAACTTTGTACTTACAACTCCTCACACGAGTATTTCAGTTCTTGATTAATAACTAAAAGTCTTATCATCTCACTCAATAGATGAAACAATTCAAAACAAACCGAACTTATTCAAGCTCCTTTTATTAACAATCATTGAGCTCTTTTCATGCTACCATCAGTAAACAGTAATCTTCATCAGAATGGCTTCTTTTAAATACAATAAATGGTGAGATAACCTTTTCATTCATCTCTTATTTTAAAGAAATGCCTCTTTTGCAATCTATAACTTTGATAATATGTACATGGAACAGCTGTGGTATGTGTTCCTATCGCTGTTAGAATATTAAGCTGACATTGATACCTGGAGTTTGTAACATTTTGATAATTATATATAAAGAGGTATATTCCGCATCACATATTTGTCTAAGAACAACATAGTACAATTTTGATAGGCAGATACACATCACTGCAAGGTGAACATAAATTATGAGTCTTAAAAAGCAATATTCTTTAATGTTTTGTGCGATCGAGATATAACCTTCTTCCTTCTGAATTTAAAATTTATCAAACCGGTGAAGGTATATACAAGTTAGTGAGTGGTTTGTCTCAATTAAAATGCTACCTTTAGAATGACACATATTTGTAAACACTCTAATCACTTTCCACGCTGTATTTCACAGGGAAATGACTGGCAACATTCCAATTTCATTTCTAAATGTTAAAAAATCACACTGTATAACATTTATTTCCCTCTCCCTCCTTGGTTATGGATTCTTGGTTTATTTCTTGGCTTCCTAATTGTTCACCTGTGGTAACTAAGGTCACTTTGTCCTGTTGTTATGATATAGACGCGACAGAATTCACTATCAGCGATTGTTACAGTTCGTCATTATGTTATGCTAATGTTACCAACTCATTAAGAAAACAACTTACCCAAAACGTTTAGACTTTTTAGTTTAAGTATCGCTTTGTCTGGAAATGTTGGAAATTATCCTTGTTTATATGAATTATCGTGCTACAGTTATCAAGAAGAAATGGATACACTTGATTGTTTACTAAAAAGAAAAAAGTCACCAGTAATTTCTCGACTGATTGGAAGGTCTATCTCTAAAGGAATATCCTTAATTTCTCTTTCTTTAGGTCAAGTGACAACAGCAATAAAAGAACTGTGTACGTTTGTTCACCTGTAGCATGAAGTTTTCAGGCTTATCATCACATAGTGCTTATACAGTTCAGAAAATTCATTTGTTTTATTTATCTATTTATTTTCATCATTTGAGGGTTAAGAGTTCCCAATGTCAGTAGCATGAAATGATATTATAGCAGCAGCCTTTAACACAGTTACATATTTATACATACTGCTAAATTAGAATGTAGATGTCTAGATCAACAACATCCGGTACATCAGTCAGAAAACTAGGCTGTAAATATTTCAAAACCACATCTCAACATCTCAAACATTAAAACCGTGGTACAATTACATCGCTTTTCATCCGCAGGTTACAAAGTCATACTTCTAGGATATGTCTGGTTATCAGTTATAAAGTCATACTTCTAGGATATGTCTGGTTATTAGTTATAAAGTCATACTTCTAGGATATGTCTGATTATCAGTTATAAAGTCATACTTCTAGGATATGTCTGGTTATTAGTTATAAATTCATACTTCTAGGATATGTCTGGTTATCAGTTATAAAGTCATACTTCTAGGATATGTCTGGTTATCAGTTATAAATCATACTTCTAGGATATGTCCTGTTATCAAGTAATGTCAAATAATAGGATCGGTAATGTTACACCTGTAGAACAGTGATAATATTAAACAAAACAAAGCATATTTAGGTCTGAACCGTTTTTTCCGTCACTCTTGGAGATTTTCGATATAACTTCTCACTAAAAACAGCAATATTGATTAAGGTTATGTGCTATATCAGGGCTTAATGATAACATCAACAGAAATGTGTATGTTCCCGTAAGTGACATTATTAAATGGAAGCACAACTTTGTTAATGCGCATAGCACAGTTATGTTAAAAATAGCCGCAAAATGCCAGATACGATAACTACGGTCGTATGAAGAAAACATTATACGTAAAAACTAAACAACATATCACAGAGGCTCGCAGGGGTTACTAATTTTGTCTGACTGCAAAACCTCAGGTTTTAGGCTTCACTCATCTAATTCTCGCGGAAATTCATTTCTTACACAAGGCACAAATATTACACTATAATGATATGTAATGTACAGAAACAGTCCTTCATCTGCCCCTCGCTGAATACAATTACAGCTATATGGAATATATAGTTACGTACTTGAGATGCAATCCCTAACTAAGACACAAGCATGGAACAAAACAATACCACTTAATAGCTACTTTCAGGATTCACTTGTGTGGCTTTATGTACGATCTTTGTGTTAAAACATATTCGCTTTACTGACGGCGGGGGCTATCTGTGATCAAATGTTGGCGGTTTGATTTACTGAATCGTTCAACAATTTGATATAAAAAAATAATCATTATGTGAATTCTGTTGACCGTAATCTTAATACTAAATTTTGATCATTCAGAAAATTGAGAACGGTTACACTTCACAGAAAACTACGAGAACGGTCTCAGATTTAAAATGACTATTTTAGGATATTTTTTCTTGATAACATATATCTAAAACAATACTTACCGGTAATAGGAACATCTGGGTTCCACAGGTTCCGACTTAGGGTAATATTATATGGAGGTTTAACAGTAGAGGGTTGTGCCCTGATGGCTCTTCCTGTGAATGGATGGGTATGTCTTGGAATCATCCTGTAGCAAGCTCTCTCTGGAGCACCGTCCGGGTAGGTAAATATATCACACACCATACCCAACACTAAAATCGCCGAAAAGAAAAGGTTCCCTTTAGATTGTAACATTTTTAAGTATTTATTAAAGGTTAACCCTGCTATAAGTAGTTATCCTCCACGCTGGTCAGCATGGACACCAGAGCTGAGTAGAACTGGAGGTGTATACACTGCACTGCCTACTGATGGTCTTCGTGACAAGTGGACAATCAACAGGTACGTACAATTAAGGCGAGGTAAAATGACAAAATACAGCCTATGAAACTGACAGCAAGGCCCATACACAGAAATACATCGCAGATTTGCATATCTAGTTAATGTATGCCTAGTAGTATTGTCTGAAGTGTTCGGACACTCGTCACTATTAGTATGCCTAAATGACCACCTTTCCGATATTAGTCACAGATGTTTGAACAATGAGCAAAAATTGTTTTTAATAGATATATTTATCTTATATGGGGTTGCTGCACCTCCCCGTCTGAATATTTATTATTATTGTTTTCGATCATTTTAGATTTTCCTCATTTGCACCCGAGGCTTCATATTTAGGTCCTCCGCATCACTGATAAGTCCTAGAAGGACGAAACAGCTGTATGATGCGGCATCACTGATAAGTCCTAGAAGGACAAAACAGCTGTATGGTGTGGCATCACTGATAAGTCCTAGAAGGACGAAACAACTGTATGATGCAGCATCACTGATAAGTCCTAGAAGGACGAAACAACTGTATGATGCAGCATCACTGATAAGTCTTAGAAGGACGAAACAGCTGTATGATGCAGCATCACTGATAAGTCCTAGAAGGACAAAACAGCTGTATGGTGTGGCATCACTGATAAGTCCTAGAAGGACAAAACAGCTGTATGGTGTGGCATCACTGATAAGTCCTAGAAGGACAAAACAGCTGTATGGTGTGGCATCACTGATAAGTCCTAGAAGGACAAAACAGCTGTATGATGTGGCATCACTGGTTAGTCCTAGAAGGACAAAACAGCTGTATGATGCAGCATCACTGATAAGTCCTAGAAGGACAAAACAGCTGTATGGTGTGGCATCACTGGTTAGTCCTAGAAGGACAAAACAGCTGTATGATGTAGCATCACTGGTTAGTCCTAGAAGGACAAAACAGCTGTATGATGCAGCATCACTGATAAGTCCTAGAAGGACGAAACAGCTGTTTGATGTAGCATCACTGGTTAGTCCTAGAAGGACAAAACAGCTGTATGATGTAGCATCACTGGTTAGTCCTAGAAGGCCGAAACAGCTGTATGATGCGGCATCACTGATAAGTCCTAGAAGGACAAAACAGCTGTATGGTGTGGCATCACTGATAAGTCCTAGAAGGACAAAACAGCTGTATGGTGTGGCATCACTGATAAGTCCTAGAAGGACAAAACAACTGTATGGTGTGGCATCACTGATAAGTCCTAGAAGGACGAAACAACTGTATGATGCAGCATCACTGATAAGTCCTAGAAGGACGAAACAGCTGTATGATGCAGCATCACTGATAAGTCCTAGAAGGACAAAACAACTGTATGGTGCGGCATCACTGATAAGTCCTAGAAGGACAAAACAGCTGTATGGTGTGGCATCACTGGTAAGTCCTAGAAGGACAAAACAGCTGTATGGTGTGGCATCACTGGTTAGTCCTAGAAGGACAAAACAGCTGTATGATGTAGCATCACTGGTTAGTCCTAGAAGGACAAAACAGCTGTATGATGCAGCATCACTGATAAGTCCTAGAAGGACAAAACAACTGTATGGTGTGGCATCACTGGTTAGTCCTAGAAGGACGAAACAGCTGTATGATGTAGCATCACTGGTTAGTCCTAGAAGGACGAAACAGCTGTATGATGTACCATCACTGGTTAGTCCTAGAAGGACGAAACAGCTGTATGATGTAGCATCACTGGTTAGTCCTAGAAGGAAGAAACAGCTGTATGATGTAACATCACTGGTTAGTCCTAGAAGGACAAAACAGCTGTATGATGTAGTATCACTGGTTAGTCCTAGAAGGACGAAACAGCTGTATGATGTAACATCACTGGTTAGTCCTAGAAGGACAAAACAGCTGTATGATGTAGTATCACTGGTTAGTCCTAGAAGGACGAAACAGCTGTATGATGTAACATCACTGGTTAGTCCTAAAAGGACAAAACAGCTGTATGATGTAGTATCACTGGTTAGTCCTAGAAGGACGAAACAGCTGTATGATGCAGCATCACTGATAAGTCCTAGAAGGACAAAACAGCTGTATGATGCAGCATCACTGATAAGTCCTAGAAGGACAAAACAGCTGTATGATGCAGCATCACTGATAAGTCCTAGAAGGACGAAACAGCTGTATGATGCAGCATCACTGATAAGTCCTAGAAGGACAAAACAGCTGTATGATGCAGCATCACTGGTTAGTCCTAGAAGGACAAAACAGCTGTATGATGCAGTTTAATTAATTATCTGACTCTACTGTATCTCCCTCTAGATTACTAAAAGGTGTTGTTCACCTGTGTATCTTTTGTACAATCATTGACGATTCTCACCACCATGCAAATCGTTACCAATTCTAGTAATTGTTATTAGGTTATCAAATTAGGACCAGGTTTAAAAAAAACAACATAATAACAAAATAACAAATATATACACTTATAATTGGTCTTACTCTCCTTTTCAGGAGTCCCCATGAAGATCTGTCTTTTGTTCAGCCAAAAACTTCCGAAATATAAACACTACATGTTAGAGAAGCAATGTTATTAAGATTTGGAACTGAAAACTTTCCAATGAGGATATCGAGATCGGCACGCTTGTCATACAGTCTGGTGAAAAAGGGTCCATGTCACTCCTGCTGTGGGGAAACATAGCATAAAAGACACACAAGTGAATGCAGCGTTTTAATAGAAATTTATAGTTAGAAGAGTCTGCCTTGTCCCTGATTTTAGATTCAGGCATAGACAAAGGATATAATCAAGAAATGTATGTTTAGAGAAGTAAAATAGTACATCTTCATTATATCAACATAATAGGTTGCGAGTTCTCCATGTTGATTCTTTTCTTTGTTACTCCGATTTTGGTCGAAGTTTTCATTTCTGAATAATTTCGTGATTCCATTCATATTCGTTTACATGATAACTTTTCGGGAGCGTTTGTGTTATCATATTTTTACCTTCAGCAATGGTCTCCATGTACTCCATGAACTTCGAAAATTAGAGCCATAAAAATCCTTTACATTAGTTACCTGAAGCGATCGTGATAATGCGTCACCTATCTGTCTGCTTTTTACAATATATATAACACTATGGTGAGGGAAGCTGACCTTCTCATTATCGGCAGACAAAAACATTCACCACCTTTATCAAACAAGCGACATTACTCACTTGTCAATTTTTTTCTTTGTCGTAATGTGTGCACACGAAGCATAGAGATGGTAGCAGCGCTTCAGTATCCGGCAAGATCGCGTGTTCATGGGCGGAACCTCCAGAAGGACGGGTCTCCTATCAGCATTAACCATAGAGATGGTAACAGCAACTCGGTATGCGGTAAGATCGTGTGTTCATGGGCGGAACCTCCAGGAGGACGGGTCTCCTATCAGCATTAACCATAGAGATGGTAGCAGCAACTCGGTATCCGGTAAGATCGTGTGTTCATGGTCGGAACCTCCAGGAGGACGGGTCTCCTATCAGCATTAACCATAGAGATGGTAGCAGCAATTCGGTATCCGGTAAGATCGTGTGTTCATGGTCGGAACCTCCAGGAGGACGGGTCTCCTATCAGCATTAACCATAGAGATGGTAGCAGCAATTCGGTATCCGGTAAGATCGTGTGTTCATGGTCGGAACCTCCAGGAGGACGGGTCTCCCATCAGCAGTAACCATACAACCTGGTCAGAGTGTGCATCGACCAAATGTTACCATGACAACGAATACTGATAATGTATTTACATTATTGTTATTGAATGGTAATTAGATGAATAAGCATACAATATTGTTTTTGTTAAAGTTGCTATTTTTCAAGTTTGATTTTATAAGTTCACAAAGTTCTTCAAAGTTTTGGTACTTTTGAAATAATTAAGTCGTTTTTACTATACCTTAATCAAGAAATCCATAAAAATACGACTGTAAGTTTAAGTTTAGTTTACAACGAGTTAACTGTTTTCTGTCTTAATGGATATATGTGTACATACTAGCATTTATTTTTTTAATTCAAATGTGAAAATAACATCATTTCGTTAGATTGATAAAGAGGCAACACCACAACTTCTACATTGTTGTACATTTCGTAAATACAAATTGAAAATAAACTATACTTGAGTCTCGAACTCGATGGTACCATGGTAAAACTTTGAGATAGCCGAATATTCGAAGTTTTATGTCAATTACGGTAGGGACCGATAAAATGCTTCGAATTTGACGGAGTCCTCAAGTTAGACGAGTTAAAGATAACGAAGTCCGATCATCATGTATTTTACATACATACTCCTTCATCGAAAATCTGGACACCAAAACTAATCATACAAATGACAACTGTGTTTTTTCTACAGGGCTTAGATTTATATATATATATCTATAACATGGGTTCCGTACGTGTTACAGCGAGTTCTGATATGAAATATGTTTTGCATTAAATCAATGGTAATCAAACTAATTAAATTAAATAGCATGGGTCACTTTCTTTGTTTTGTTAGTCCCGTCAACAGTTATAATTTTGTGTAAGTCTGTATGGATGAATTCTTTATTATTGAATTTGTGATTTAATTATGATTATGTTGGTTTGTTGATATTTTCTTGTTTTCTTATAAATTTGTCTGTTATTCTATTGTTCATTAACGTATTAGTATTGACAAACAATAAAACATTAATTAGAATTATAAGACAGCTACTACTTACTGTTGGCGGTATGGTTACAAAACTGTTGGTAATTTGTCATAACATCCAGTTTTACTCATTTACTGTCAAAGAATTTATTGTATATGGTTTATAATTTCGACTTCGTTGATGCTCTAAATCCAATAATTAATTTGTCCACGAGCTGTTACTATATGTAGATTAATTTGTCTTTATTCATTATCAGGACAGGTCTCCATGCATGTTAATACATTGAAATCATTCCAATTACTGTCATACTATGTCGATAGACTTATCCAGACTTCTTCTGTACAAATCCCTAAGGTTATCTTCCATTTATTGATGAAATAAGATTGAGTCCGTAGCTTACATAACAAATCCGAACTTTTTTTGTATATTGGTGTGTGTTTTGAGTCTGTAGCTTACATAACAAATCCGAACATTTTTTGTATATTGGTGTGTGTTTTGAGTCCGTAGCTTACATAACAAATCCGAACTTTTTTGTATATTGGTGTGTGTTTTGAGTCCGTAGCTTACATAACAAATCCGAACTTTTTTGTATATTGGTGTGTGTTTTGAGTCCGTAGCTTACATAACAAATCCGAACTTTTTTGTATATTGGTGTGTGTTTTGTGTCCGTAGCTTACATAACAAATCCGAACTTTTTTGTATATTGGTGTGTGTTTTGTGTCCGTAGCTTACATAACAAATCCGAACTTTTTTGTATATTTGTGTGTGTTTTGAGTCCGTAGCTTACATAACAAATCCGAACTTTTTTGTATATTGGTGTGTGTTTTGTGTCTGTAGCTTACATAACAAATCCGAACTTTTTTGTATATTGGTGTGTGTTTTGTGTCCGTAGCTTACATAACAAATCCGAACTTTTTTGTATATTGGTGTGTGTTTTGTGTCCGTAGCTTACATAACAAATCCGAACTTTTTTGTATATTGGTGTGTGTTTTGAGTCCGTAGCTTACATAACAAATCCGAACTTTTTTGTATATTGGTGTGTGTTTTGTGTCTGTAGCTTACATAACAAATCCGAACATTTTTTGTATATTGGTGTGTGTTTTGTGTCCGTAGCTTACATAACAAATCCGAACTTTTTTGTATATTGGTGTGTGTTTTGAGTCCGTAGCTTACATAACAAATCCGAACTTTTTTGTATATTGGTGTGTGTTTTGAGTCCGTAGCTTACATAACAAATCCGAACTTTTTTGTATATTGGTGTGTGTTTTGAGTCCGTAGCTTACATAACAAATGAACTTTTTTGTATATTGGTGTGTGTTTTGAGTCCGTAGCTTACATAACAAATCCGAACTTTTTTGTATATTGGTGTGTGTTTTGTGTCCGTAGCTTACATAACAAATCCGAACTTTTTTGTATATTGGTGTGTGTTTTGTGTCCGTAGCTTACATAACAAATCCGAACTTTTTTGTATATTGGTGTGTGTTTTGAGTCCGTAGCTTACATAACAAATCAGAACTTTTTTGTATATTGGTGTGTGTTTTGTGTCCGTAGCTTACATAACAAATCCGAACTTTTTTGTATATTGGTGTGTGTTTTGAGTCCGTAGCTTACATAACAAATCCGAACTTTTTTGTATATGGGTGTGTGTTTTGAGTCCGTAGCTTACATAACAAATCAGAACTTTTTTGTATATGGGTGTGTGTTTTGTGAACTTAAATCGCTGTTTTATGTTAAAGTCGAATTTTATTTCGGGAATATATTCTCTCGTGTTAATATAACTACATTTTCATCTCAACAAAGGTCCGTAATTGAAATAAAAAATAGTGTACATTGCTTTCAACTTGGACTTGTTTGAGTGGTCATGTACTGGCGAATGGAGATGTGCCGAGGAAGGACACCGTTAATGTCATTCAGTGCCACTTACAGAGGCCATCAATACTAATTAATCACTAGTGCAATAAACCCGTGACTGTTCATGTATCGTACATTATCGGTATGTAGGAAATATGTGTAGAGCACGAGAATAAAATAACATGTAAGATGTAGCGCTAAAATGGCTGACCTTTCACCTTACCTACATTTTGTATACATCCGTTCCTTAGTGTAGTTTTATCAGTGTGAAAGCAGGTGAGATCAGGGTCAATATTGAGAGTCATATGTGTAGTTTCTGTAATGATTTTGTTATGATAGCTGTCATGTAATAATATGATTAGGTAATAATGTTCGTGCCAGGCTGTACATACCAGAGGGTTGATTAATGGGTGTAGAGATAATGTAATACTTTGTCACGATGATCACCCGTAATCTGGTCACTAATGCCGTATTTCGTTCATGAGAAGAATTTTTCCTAATACCTGGTTTCCTTTTGTAAATCTTACATATTTTGCTTTCCGTTTTTTTTTTTTTTTTTTATTTTTGTTTGTTTGTTTGTATTTTTTGTTTTTGTTTTTGTTTTGATTTTGGGTTTGGATTAATGTTTTGCCGACATGTCTGTAATTTAGTATTACTCCGATAACATTTCAGTACTTACATTACAACAATGACTTAAACATTTCACAGTTTAAAAAAAATAGATGTTATGATAAACGACAGCAAATAAAATACCAACATGTAAACAGAATGATACTCGGAACACAAATTCAATAAATATAGGGCAAAATATGAACGAAAGAAAGGTTTACGAAGAGAATCCTGGAAAAGTACAAGGAGAATAAGATCAGGAGTTTCATATTGAAATAGAACACCAAACATTTAGGCTTTTCGTAATGCAGAGTTATCTGCCCTTGTGAGCTGGTATCGTTACGTCATTTGTTTGTGAGAGTAACGTTATGAGAAAAAGACGTAATTTATTTCACGTAAACCAATGATGTAACGATCAATGGCCTGCTTATGATTCCTGTCCAAGCATCTTTGCATGTTATCAGATATTTTATGTGTTTATCTGTTTGATCATTAGGTAGCTGGAAACAGTTAATTTGCATTTATTGTTCATGTTGAGATATACAGGTATAGCAGTTTGGTTATGCATAATATACATCATTACATGTAAATATATTTATAAACTACATAGCAATTACATTAATAGTAGAGATAGATCAAATTTGAGTAAATCAAAAATTACCTTTGATTTCTGACCTGCAATTGCCATGGTCACCAACTGAAAAAAATGCCTTCACAACATGATTACATGTAAACACTATGAAACCTTTACTTCCTGTAAAGCTAGGTTTTGGTGTGTAGACAAAGATTCGAGACTGTCCAAATTGTGATCTCCAACACTTTACAAAAATATTCTTCTGGAAAAATTGAAACCCCACATTGTCCACTTAAACATGACAAGGTTAATTTTAGCAAGGGTCTATTTTTTTTCAAATTTTACTTAAAGCCTTCATTATGGGTTGATCTGATGGACGAAAATATCACCCATGGCCGCACCGAGAAACTGTGTACTGCTACCTTAACGTTTGATCATATTTCAAAATCCGACGTAAGAGTCTTTGCGGACCTTTAATTGTTCAATACCACTCGGTATCATCACAGGACGGCTATTTAATGATGTCATTCATTTTTGACAACAATTTCATAAAGATTACACCATTTTTGCTGTCATTTTCACTTTTAAAAGATAAATGGTTGAACTAAACATTTTTAAACTTGTCTTTGTTTCGAATTTCAATTTCTTTTAATTAATTGATCGAGTAACTTGCCATAAAAAAATTTAAAATACTACCACTTTGGTCTATTATACCAAACACCACCGTGTGAGAAATTCATTTTAAGGAATATGGAGAAAGGAGAGTGGTTTATATAATAATGTCAGTATTCTTTATCAGGATTTGCTTCGTGTCCTGTCCTGTCGATGTAGACACTATTTACAACGATCAAAACAATACCGGCTACAATTATCAAAATTCAACATAGATTACAAATGTTAACACGAAAACATTTTGTATGTTAACTATTCTGTAAGTATATTACATCCTTAACTAAGCGTCCTCTACACTTTCTCCTAAAGTTAGCATCCTCTGTAGCCGGTGTGGTCTTACTTCTGTAGTAAATGTCCTCTGTAGCCAGTGTGGTGTTACTTCTGTAGTAAGCGTCCTCTGTAGCCAGTGTGGTGTTACTTCTGTAGTAAGCGTCCTCTGTAGCCGGTGTGGTCTTGCTTTTGTAGTAAATGTCCTCTGTAGCCGGTATGGTCTTACTTCTGTAGTAAGCGTCCTCTGTAGCCGGTGTGGTCTTACTTCTGTAGCAATCGTCCTCTGTAGCCGGTGTGGTCTTACTTCTGTAGTAAGTGTCCTCTGTAGCCAGTGTGGTCTTGCTTTTGTAGTAAGCGTCCTCTGTAGCCGGTGTGGTCTTACTTCTGTAGCAATCGTCCTCTGTAGCCGGTGTGGTGTTACTTCTGTAGTAAGTGTCCTCTGTAGCCAGTGTGGTCTTGCTTTTGTAGTAAGCGTCCTCTGTAGCCGGTGTGGTCTTACTTCTGTAGCAATCGTCCTCTGTAGCCGGTGTGGTCTTACTTCTGTAGTAAGTGTCCTCTGTAGCCAGTGTGGTCTTGCTTTTGTAGTAAGCGTCCTCTATAGCCTGTGTGGTCTTGCTTTTGTAGTAAGCGTCCTCTATAGCCTGTGTGGTCTTGCTTCTGTAGTAAGCGTCCTCTGTAGCCGCTGTGGTGTTACTTCTGTAGTAAGCGACCTCTGTAGCCCGTGTGGTTTTACTTCTAAAGTAAGCGTCCTCTGTAGCCGGTGTGGTGTTACTTCTGTAGTAAGCGTCCTCTGTAGCCGGTGTGATCTTACTTCTGTAGTAAATGTCCTCTGTAGCCAGTGTGGTGTTACTTCTGTAGTAAGCGTCCTCTGTAGCCGGTGTGATCTTACTTCTGTAGTAAATGTCCTCTGTAGCCAGTGTGGTGTTACTTCTGTAGTAAGCGTCCTCTGTAGCCGCTGTGATCCTACTTCTGTAGTAAGCGTCCTCTGTAGCCCGCGTGGTGTTACTTCTGTAGTAGGCGACCTCTGTAGCCGGTGTGGTCTCACTACTGTAGTAAGCGTCCTCTGTAGCCGTTGTGGTCTTACATCTGTAGTAAGCGTCCTCTGTAGCCACTGTGGTCTTACTTCTGTAATAAGCGTCCTCTGTAGCCGGTGTGGTCTTACTTCTGTATTAAGCGTCCTCTGTAACGGCTGTAGTCTACTTTTACTTATATTATATCCAGATTGCAAAGTTAGATTGTTACTAACTTTGGTGTATGTATAAATATATCAAAGAGAAGATATTGATAAGTTGTGATAAATTGAGCCGGATGTTTATTTGTAATACCCATGCAATAAATTTGTTGAAATTCAAAATAAGTGTAGAAAGAGTACTTTTAATTTGATATATTGAACGCCGGATATGGAATTCTATCCCCAGGAATGACCATCCTAACCTCGTGACATCTTTATGAAGCCAGTCACCAATAAAGCGTGTTATACGGCATAAAGTCAGTACTAAGATGTGTATATATGTCATCCTTCCCAGACATCAGTCAATCACAGGACAATGAACTGTCCGAGGTATCTCCTTGGCCGTACCACTGGACTGGCAGACGGTGCTCACGTACAAAGTTGTAGCAATATTATGTATAACGATAATCACATGAGACGAAGTAGATCACAATACGAGGAGTTCCGGTTGTGGACAGATAACTTTGTATGTTAGACTCAATTAGTATAACGCGCCGAACACCATCTATACGGCACTGACAGGATAAGGCGCCATTAGGCCCAGGAGCTATCTTCAAAAACTACCCAACATTTCAACATTTCAGACACCCTGATAGACGGTTTCATCCCATGGGGGCGTCTTATTTCTGACGTTTGCGTCCTCAGTAGTGGGCGTTGTCTACTATTACTCCTGACGTTGGCGTTCTCCGTAGTGGGCGTTGTCTACTCTTATTTCTGACGTTAGCGTCCTCCGTAGTGGGCGTTGTCTACTCTTACTTCTGACGTTAGCGTCCTCCGTAGTGGGCGTTGTCTACTCTTACTACCGTCGTTAGCGTCCTCCGTAGTGGGCGTTGTCTACTCTTACTTCTGTCGTTAGCGTCCTCCGTAGCGGGGGTTGTCTACTATTACTCCTGACGTTGGCGTTCTCCGTAGTGGGCGTTGTCTACTCTTATTTCTGACGTTAGCGTCCTCCGTAGTGGGCGTTGTCTACTCTTACTTCTGACGTTAGCGTCCTCCGTAGTGGGCGTTGTCTACTCTTACTACCGTCGTTAGCGTCCTCCGTAGTGGGCGTTGTCTACTCTTACTTCCGTCGTTAGCGTCCTCCGTAGTGGGCGTTGTCTACTCTTACTTCTGACGTAAGCGTCCTCCGTAGTGGGGGTTATCTACTCTTACTTCTGACGTAAGCGTCCTCCGTAGTGGGCGTTGTCGTTAGCGTCCTCCTACTTCCGTTAGCGTTAGCGTCCTCCCGTAGTGGGCGTTGTCTACTCTTACTTCTGATGTAAGCGTCCTCCGTAGTGGGGGTTATCTACTCTTACTTCTGACGTAAGCGTCCTTCGTAGTGGGCGTTGTCTACTTTTACTTCTGACGTTAGCGTCCTCCGTAGTGGGCGTTGTCTACTCTTACTTCTGACGTAAGCGTCCTCCGTAGTGGGCGTTGTCTACTCTTACTTCTGACGTTAGCGTCCTCCGTAGTGGGCGTTGTCTACTCTTACTTCTGACGTTAGCGTCCTCCGTAGTGGGCGTTGTCTACTCTTACTTCTGACGTAAGCGTCCTTCGTAGTGGGGGTTATCTACTCTTACTTCTGACGTAAGCGTCCTCCGTAGTGGGCGTTGTCTACTGTTACATTTGACGCTAGCGTCCTCAGTAGAGGAGTCAACCATTTGACTGAGAATACACCGGAGAGTTGGTGATGTTGTCAAACGGGTATAATTCAGCAAAACTGTCAAAGCTTCTAAAAGGGAAACCTCTATCTGAAATGGCAATGTCCAGAAATCGATGATAAACCTATAGGCAGATTTAGGCTCTGCAATTTTTCTGTATCGTAAATATTACGTATCTCACATTTTTTATATAGGTGTATTGATTAGTGAACGTTTGCACCCTCGAAAACTTCATCTTTTTAACGAGCTTATCATTCCTTATAAACTTTCTTTATGATGAAATATTTTCAACCAAAGGAGGTGTGAACGGCTAAACATAGTGTGTGAACGGTTGTACATAGTTTGTGAACGGTTATACATAGTGTGTGAACGGTTATACATAGTTTGTGAACGGTTATACATAGTTGTGAACGGTTATACATAGTTTGTGGACGGCTAAACATAGTTTGTGAACGGTTGTACATGGTTATGAATGGTTATACATAGTTGTGAACGGTTATACATAGTTTGTGAACGGTTATACATGGTTGTGAACGGTTATACATAGTTTGTGAACGGTTGTACATAGTTTGTGAATGGTTATACATAGTTTGCGAACAGTTATATATAGTTTGTGAACGGTTGTACATAGTTTGTGAATGGTTTTACATAGTTTGTGAACAGTTATATATAGTTTGTGAACGGTTATACATAGTTGTGAACGGTTATACATAGTTTGTGAACAATTGTACATAGTTTGTGAACGGTTATACATAGTTGTGAACAGTTATACATAGTTTGTGAACGGTTATACATAGTTGTGAACGGTTATACATGGTTGTGAACGATTGTACATAGTTGTGAACGGTTGTAAATAGTTTGTGAACAGTGGTACATAGTTGTGAACAGTTATACATGGTTGTGAACGATTGTACATAGTTTGTGAACGGTTGTACATAGTTTCTGAAAATTTATACATAGTTTGTGAACAGTTGTATATAGTTTGTGAACGGTTATACATAGTTGTGAACGGTTATACATAGTTGTGAACAGTTATACATGGTTGTGAACGATTGTACATAGTTTGTGAACGGTTGTACATAGTTTGTGAAAATTTATACATAGTTTGTGAACAGTTGTATATAGTTTGTGAACGGTTATACATAGTTGTGAACGGTTATACATAGTTGTGAACGGTTATACATAGTTTGTGAACAGTTATACATAGTTGTGAACGGTTGTACATAGTTTGTGAACAGTTATTTATAGTGTGTGAACAGTTATACATAGTTTGTGAACGGTTATACATAGTTTGTGAACAGTTATATATAGTGTGTGAACAGTTATACATCGTTGTGAACGGTTATACATCGTTGTGAACGGTTATACATAGTTGTGAACAGTTTTACATAGTTCGTAATTGTACGTCTACCTTGACCACAAGTTTTGGCATCTCTCTCCCAGTTCTTGTTTCTCTCTCCCAGTTCTTGTTTCTCCCTCCCAGCCCTTCTTTCTCCCTCCCAGCTCTTGTTTCTCCCTCCCAGCTCTTGTTTCTCTCTCCTAGTTCTTGTTTCTCTCTCCCAGTTCTTGTTTCTCCCTCCCAGCTCTTATTTCTCTCTCCCAGCTCTTGTTTCTACCTCCCAGTTTTTGTTTCTCTCTCCCAGTTCTTGTTTCTCCCTCCCAGCTCTTGTTTCTCTCTCCCAGCTCTTGTTTCTTTCTCCCAGTTCTTGTTTCTCTCTCCCAGTTCTTGTTTCTCTCTCCCAGTTCTTGTTTCTCTCTCCCAGTTCTAGTTTCTCCCTCCCAGTTCTTGTTTCTTTCTCCCAGTTCTTGTTTCTCCCTTCCAGCTTTTGTTTCTCTCTCCCAGTTCTTGTTTCTTTCTCCCAGTTCTTGTTTCTCTCTCCCAGTTCTTGTTTCTCTCTCCCAGTTCTTGTTTCTCCCTCACTGCTCTTGTGTCTCTCTCCCAGCTCTTGTTTCTCCCTCCCAGTTCTTGTTTCTCTCTTCCAGCTCTTGTTTCTTTCTCCCAGTTCTTGTTTCTCCCTCACTGCTCTTGTTCCTCTCTCCCAGTTCTTGTTTCTCCCTCCCAGTTCTTGTTTCTCTCTCCCAGTTCTTGTTTCTCTCTCCCAGCTCTTGTTTCTCTCTCCCAGTTCTTGTTTCTCTCTCCCAGTTCTTGTTTCTCCCTCACTGCTCTTGTTTCTCTCTCCCAGCTCTTGTTTCTCTCTCCCAGTTCTTGTTTCTCTCTCCCACTGCTCTTGTCTCTCTCTCTCTCCCAGCTTTTGTCTCTCTCTCCCTCCCTCTTCTTGTTTCTCCCTCCCAGTTCTTGTTTCTCTCTCCCAGCTCTTGTTTCTCTCTCCCAGTTCTTGTTTCTCTCTCCCAGCTCTTGTTTCTCTCTCCCAGTTCTTGTTTCTCTCTCCCAGCTCTTGTTTCTCTCTCCCAGTTCTTGTTTCTCTCTCCCAGTTCTTGTTTCTCCCTCACTGCTCTTGTTTCTCTCTCCCAGCTCTTGTTTCTCTCTCCCAGTTCTTGTTTCTCCCTCACTGCTCTTGTTTCTCTCTCCCAGCTTTTGTTTCTCCTGCACAGTTGTTGGGTCTCCTTCCCAGCTCTTGTGTCTCCTTCACATCTCTTGTTTCTTCCTCAATGATTCTCCTTCCAAGCTCTAGTTTCTCCCACTCAGCTCTTGTTTCTCTCTCCCAGCTCTTGTTTCTCCCTCTCAGCTCTAGTTTCACCCTCACAGCTCTATTTTCCCCCAACAACTCTTGTTTCTCCCCCTCTCTTTTTTCTCAGGGATCTATCGTAATCCATTTTGATGATTAAATTACCCTTAAATGACACAGTTGTGTGTCTCAAACAAATTTCAACTTCGCTTTGTTTAGTTTGGTGAATTTATAGCGTTAGTTTGTGATGCATTGCTGACATTTGATGCATAAACATATTTTTTAAGCATTTGTTACTGTTATTGAATATTTCAACACAATTGTGTATGTACATTTACTATGTGGTGCTGAGTTCTGTTTTAATATATGTATACATATATATATATATATCTGCCTTACCAACAGTACTCTGGAGATGAAATAATTATATGTTTCCGTCTAGATAATGATCGAGTAGACTGATATTGTAAATATTTTTATGTGTTCTTTTTTATTATCGGGACAGAAAAACTTTACTAAAATCTTCTGAGTGAAAAAAGAAACCTTTTATAGCATGTCTGTTAATTTTTTCTGACAGACCTGAAGATACATATATCAAAGTTGGAATAGTAACGTATCGTACAGTGTATGTTGTCGGTAGTAACATGTTAATTATATTACACGTCTTTTCATTCATCGTTGTGTTTATAATTCATCCGTGAAATTGATCTATGTTTTATATACAAAAACGTTATTTATTATTGTTTATAACTGGTTCATTTATTCTAACAAAAATTATGAAATGACACATTATACGTCACGTGACCGCCAGTTTGTTATGATTTCGTGCGTTCAGTTTGATTATAAAAGATTTTGGTATACATATAATGTGAGTGGATAAATAGTATATACTTCATTTATGTCTTTATATTTTTATATATTACTTAACTGTATCCCAATGTTTCGGGTTTCTTAATATCGCTATAATCAAGATGAAAGTAATGGCCATGTTGATGTTGAGTAGTGATAAATGACTGTTGTCACGAGCTGGAGAGTGCGTTGGTCATTAAGAGACAATAAAATTAATTACCTTAATCTAGGTATAGCACAAGGAAGTGTGTAAATACTGGTAAACAACTAACGGTAGATATCGTCACAGGTCTGTTTACTGGAATGTGTATAATTCTCATGTTTCCTACGTAGTAAACTAACCACGGCATTTTTGCTCATTTGAACGTAACCTATATTACAACATATAAAGAGATGGAAATGAAAAATGTACAAATAAATTCAAGGAAATGGAAAGTAGACAGAAGCATAAGTTGAGACGAAAACTCTGTTGACGGGAAAATCAGTATCCGGATTCTATGTCCGTACTATGTTCTGTGTTGTTTTGTATTTACAATTTTGGAACTCTTTAGCTTTGAAGATAATAAATATACAACCGTGTTCAGGAAAAAAATGACCGGTGAAAAGATGCTCGTTATTTTTCTGACAATTCTTAATTGTGTAGCTGTTTATGGTTTATATGAGGACCAGGCTGGTAAATTTGATTGGTATGCAATTTGGTTATTTCAGTTTGGTGATGCACTCTAATCCCTATCACAGGATCAGCCCGGTTGAGCCGGCCGGTTAGATATCCGACCATGTGTCGCATCCATCAGGCCATACCCGCAACCGTAGTTGTTTCAGCAAATGTGACTTCTTGTTTTTTAAGCTGAATATCTCCTAATTTAATGCGAATGTGTCACTTAATATGATTGGTAGGGCACTTTATGATTGAAAAGCTGTATGTTTGTATGAATGTATGTACCTTGGCACAGGAACACGATGTTCAATACGTGAAAAAAGTATTCAATTATACAGCTAAAATAGCAAGAATCACACAGCACTGTGATATAGGTTGAGAAGATTGATTGAGAAGTATTATCAGAGAAGATGTTAACAATCTTACATGTTCTATAGATTTCCCCGCTTCGAGACCAAATACACCTGCACAAACTGTACGCTTATCCAAATAAGTATAAGAAATTTCAGTCTCTAAAATGATAATTTAATGTCCACATTCACATTTATTATGCTGTTATTGATATTAACATTTTTATCGACTTTGCTCAGTTTAGAGATAGAACAGACGTGTTCATTAAAGTGGTAGAAACACATCCACCATGGATGCAATGATTTAAAAAAAATTATGGTAGGTTCATTTCAAAACAGAACAAGTTTATTTGCCTTACTAACCTTGTTAGACCTTACAGTTTGTTATTTCTAATCAATTCCAGTGTGTTTTTTCTTGACTTGTAAATTCAATAGTATTATCAGAGACAGACAGTACTGCTCAGTAGAGCTATTCCAAGTTGTGGTAATGGTGGTGCAGTTGAATTTATAAGTCAAAGCAGACAGAAAAATCATTAGAACAGCATAAAAATAGCAAATTGTAAGGGCTGAAAAGGTTGGTGAGGCAAGTAAACTTGTTCTGTTTTGAAATGAAAATATAAATAACAGCATAATAGTTGTGAATATTCACATTAAGTTATTATTTAAGGGACAGAAATTTTTGGTCTAAATAAGGAAATGACTGTCTAAATGAAAAGAAATCCTAAATTCCTATCCATGTGAATTACAGTTGTGGTGATATCATTTACAAGTTCATAGTAAGCCATCAAATTCACTTTAGATATTTTTCTATGCATTTATAATTTTGACAAATGCACTCAAGAAAAGAGCCCTTGATAGGAAATTGATTTACAAATACCAAACAAAATCTTTGCAGGAGACAGCAATATGTTGGACGCATCGACCATCTGTTTTGGGACCAGTCCATTACTTTGGGTAAAAGGATTTTAGTAGCAACAGACCAGCATATTGTGGCAGCTATCCACAGTCATAACGGAAGCATTGGTAAGACAGAGGTTACTTACATATATGTCTCTCACTTGTACAAGTTATTTTGACATTCTGTCTACTTTTTAAATTGATCTGGAGTTGTTTAGTGTATGAACTTCAGTCCTTGAAAGAAAATAGGGAAATGAATAGCATGGTCTGCATACAAATGGTTATTTTGGAAAGAAATTGTCATCTTAATTCTAATGTCTCACTGGGATCAAAAGATCTGGGTTTTTTCACACAGGACATGTATATGCTTTTAAACATTAATAACATACTGAAAATACATTTCCCCTTGTAACTCTGTGCTAGTTTATGTCAGAGTAGTATTTTGCCTGAACACTGTTTATACTTTAGGGGTATTACTAAAGATGTAATAATATAACATTTGTTTGCTTTGAAGCAGAGCTATATAAAGAAACTAATTTGTCTTCATCTTATGGAAATATTATGTAGTGCACACAAGGTATTTGACACCCTGTGAAATTGAGAAAGCATCTGTATGTATGGTATACTTAAGTTCCTAATGGAAGAATGTTAATTAAATTTCATATATATTAAACAGTTCAAATAAATCTATCTATTCTTCAATATAAAGATTGGCAGATTTTCAATGTTCTTGGATGCTTTATGGTAATGAGCAAAGCAGTATTGATAAAGACTGAGATTTCTGAATGATTGTGAATCATGGATACAAGTGCAGTATCAAAGGCTTGATGGGAATATAATCAAGTTATCTTATGAACCATAGTGAAGATGTTAACATATATTTTTAGCTACAAATTTCTGTTACAGCATGGAGGAAGATCCAGGAAGATGATGACAGAGGAGTGATAGATGCCATCGATCATCAAAATAATGGTACGCTCTGGTCAAACGTTTTAGTTTATGATGGCAAATTATTTTAAAAGCAGTCGCCTTTCTGAAAAATGAATTAAGAGTGTAAATTCAATGCATTTTCTATTCGGAATTATCAAAGTTTGTTTTGTTGCTGCTTTAACTGTTTAATGACAAGTTCAAGTTGTATAACTATAGCAATTGTTTAACTCAAACCACACTTATTTCAGCGCTTGTAACTATCAGCGGGAAGGGCAGATTTGTCAGAAGTTGGCAACCTAGCAGTGGCTCCCTCTACTGGGAAGTTGAAACATTTAAATCTAGTGAACCAGGCACCAGGTAGGTAATTCTTAAGATAACACTGATATTTATTGAGTTCCAAATGTTATGTTTACTGGATTTCACATGTTTTTTTAACCTGACTAACGGAAGGTGGCAGGGGTATTGAAGTGTGTTCTGTCCCTCCTTCCATCCTTCCATCTGTCCGTTTGCTGCTTTCCGGATGATATCTTTGGAAGGACTAGTTGGGTTTTGATGAAACTTTGGTGGTACACATGTTACTTGGATACCTTGTCCAAGTTTGATCACTTTCCACAATTCTTTCAAATTTTTTTATGAGACTTGCCTTGCAGTCTTTGTACCTTTACCATTCTGTTAAGTTTGATGATTGGCTAATTCCTTGAATATCTAATGAGGCAGCTGTGACCTGGATGGCTGATTGTCTTGCGCAGAATATCTTCTGAAATAATAATAAGAGATGTATTAAAGACTATAAACATATCTCTTACTGATTCAGAAACAGAACAATAACAATAGGGTTTTTCACCAGTTAGTGAAAAGCCTTAATAAACCTATGATAGTGAATCTCCAAAATGTTTTTAGAATTCTAATGTTGGAAATGATGTTGGACTATCACTGGTTATGATTTGTTTTACTGATAGTAACTTTCTTACAATTTTATATATCTGTTTATGAGTTGCTGTATTGTATTTTATTAATGTGTATAAACCATTTCACTGTTTTGTCATACTTGAGTGGTAATAGAATCATTGATTGATTGATTAAGTGACAAATATTCTATCATTACCTTGGGGAATATAACTAGGTATGATAAGCTGATTTCAATATTCACAGTATTATGCTACTAAATTGTTATTATATTGATCACTTTCAACAGAACTTTAAACTTAACATGAACAGTAAATGGTTACAATGCTTTAGTTTTCTGTGTTGCTTAATTTAAATGTATATATTTTACAAATGAACATGAGCATGGGATCTTGATAGCTATGTCCTTGTTTATTCAGTTAATGATATGTAAAGAATTTTTTTTCCCTTTTTTGAGAAAGTATCTGCAGACATTTTTTTTAAATCTTAAAGTTAGGAAGTAATGTTGAAATAATTTCTGATTTAATGTTTAAATGGCATTGACACCTTATTTTTTCTGTGTTACTTTTTTCCAGTGGAGATGTAAGAATTTACAGTAAAGGTGAGTCTCATGGTTATATCCCTTCCATTTTAATGATTATCATAAATGTCTACATTCTTTCAAACATTGGTCCTATACAAAATTATCAGCTGTAGATAAATATTAATGCTGGCACAGATTCCTCCTCAGTGTTCTAATATTTGATGACTTTAAGGTATTGATATGGTGTTAAAAAAAATCAAATTACCAATCTATCAATACATTTCTAAAATAATTCTTATATTTCATAGATAATATTTTTTCTATCTTACACCACTATAACATTGACGTTGGTTTAGCATTCAAGGATAAAGACACAAGAAAACCAGAACAATTACATATATATATACATATTGATTTACATTAAGTACAACTAAATTTAGACACATTAACACTCTTACGCTCTCTCTCATTCAACCACTTATCATACGCCTGTCGTATGACTAGACGTATTATGGTATGGCGTTGTTTGTCCATCCCTTTGTCGTAAACTTTTCTTGTCCGGGCCATAACTTTGTGAGTCCTTGGTCTATTGTCACCATACTTTGTACACATATATATCTCAAGATGACGGAGTGTCACATATAAAAATTGCCCGCCTCACATGCATAGTTTCTGAGTTATTCCCTCTTAGTTGATTTTTTTGTAAACTTCCCTTGTCAGGGCCATAATTTTGCAACTCCTTGCTCTCTGGTCACCATAATTTGTACACATGTATATCTAGAGATGCCGGAGTGTCGGATATAAAAATTGTCCACCTTGCATGCATAGTTACTGAGTTATTCTTGAATAGTTTTGGACAATACTACTGTCTGTTACATGTTCTTGATGCCTCCCAGATGAAGTATTGGCGTTAACACCGACGGGAGTGTACAAGTTCAACCTACATAATGGCAAGGAGAAATGGAACCTACAACTACCTACAAAGTAAGGAAAACTCAGTATTAACACTGAGGAATTTATAGAAATGAAATATTTAAACATTGTTCTCATTCAGGGACAACGTTATTGTCTAATCGCTAATGAGTCATTCCTTGTGTTGTCCGGTTGACATTCATAATGTCATGAAATGCCAAATAACAGCAATTCATTGCTTATATTTATCATTTAAAATTTTCACCAATTTATTTACAAATGGGATCATTAAACCTCAATTTTTTATATTACTAACAATCAGCTGTCTATAACTCGATAGAACTAACTTCAGTGTAACTTAGCTGTGTTATTAGTATAAACCAGATGTTAAAACTGATGTTGCATTTAATATTTTGAAAGTAAATAAGAAAGATGATATTAGAAGGAAAAATGACAAATCACAGACTGAAAAATTACAAAACAGAAAAGTTTTCTTTAATGACAGGTTTTCTTCTTTATAATGCTGAGATATATCTGAATTTGTCTTGAGAATTTTTTTTATTGCCATAATCAGATACTTTACAAAGTGACTGTGTGTGGTGAGAATGCTTGATTAAAACCACTTTTATTTCCCTCTAGAGACAACGTGGTGTTTGACAGACTTGTTTTACATGGGAGTAACTTACATGCTGTTGGTCGATCAGTTGGTGCTCATGTGATGGTGGTATCTGCTGACATAGAGGGCACTCTAAAACAACAGCGATCTGTACCTGCTGCTTGGATAAAGGATGATACAGAGTAGGTTATTAAGGAACAGGAACATTGCATTAATCACAAAACTGGGTTGGTACAGTTGTTACCTTAATTCCTTGCCCAAGCTTGGTTAACGGTGATTGGGGCTGCTGTGAACTGATTAGCTGATTTCTTCAATCACTCTATGGGAATACTTTCTACACTTTTATCATATGAAGGAATGTTAAGATTTTTAGGAAACTTGCTTTGTAAACTTATTACCTTAATTCCTTGTTCAGGTCTGATCTTTCACAAATTCTGTGTCTATTTTAAGAGACTGCTGTGACCTGATATCTTACAACACCCTTAATGAATGTTTTTTACATGTTATCTTTTGAAGGAACAAATGAATTATGATGAGACTTGCCTGATAGAATTGTTACCTTAACCCCTTATTTGATTTTGATTATCAGCAAATTCTGTGCATATTTATTGAGACTGCTGTGACCTGATTGGCTGATATCTTTTATAATATTCATTTGACCACTGTAATCTTGAAAGTGGACCAAAGTCAAATATATCAGTAGCCTGAACCTTTTGGTCAATGAGAAGAAGTGTTTTGAAGTCTTAAACAAACTCAATTTTTTAATTTTCACTTGACCGCCGTGAGCTTTGAAGTGAGTCAAAATCAGCCATATTAACAAACCTGTAGCCATTCATGCTAACATTGTCCAGGCCAGATATCAGTAGTCTGGGCCTTTTATTCATTGGTAAGAAGTTATTTGAGTTTTAATACAAACTTGACCATTTTTCAAATTTCCAAAAGTGCCTACCATCTTAACAGTTAATGTAAGAGGCAAACTGAAGACTATCGGAATGGAATGCCCATCTCCTTGTTTCAGACTTTTTTATCATTGGACACCCGTGTAAGATCCCCCATGTATCAGATGTATTACAATAAGTTTGTAATACAAGATAAATATTGAATTAGCCTTTCACTAGTGATTTTGGGACTCAGATATGAGATTCCGGCACTCATGATTTTCCTGTTGGACTTACTCAAAATTTGAGATTCTACTCTATCCCTTAGTATTGGGACTCATTAAAATTTGGAACTGGTGTTCTAGGCTTGCCTGAAAAAATCTTGTTCTCATCTTGATCTTTTATGAATGATTCTTTGAGCTTTGAAACAACCAAACTTTACTTTTATATGAAATGGGATAGGAAACTCTCCCAGAATGGTAAATATGTTAGTTTTGTGTTGTAGTAAGGGTGTCTTGTTTAGATGGTATCATATTCATCATTCTGATATAATTTTATGACATGATTTTTGTGTTACAGCTGTGAAACTCTAGATGTTGGAGTCATGCTTTGTTACGATGACGTTTCATCGAACCTTCAGTTGCTGAACTTAGAGTCTGGTCAGGTGTTTGTGGAGGTTGAGTTACAGGTAGGTGTTCCTTCAAATAAGATGGACATATATTTAATATCTTTGGTAATAAAAGTCATTACTAATTCTTTAACAAGTCCCCTACCTAACTGAAGAACACTATGTTTCAGCCTCTTCAAATTTCCAAATTCTGTATTTTGGAAAATCAATTTGGTTTTTGTAATTTAAGAATTTCTTGAAGAGTAAAGGAATCTTGTAAGTTCTGTGACTAAGAATGCCTTGACCTTGTTAAAAATAATTATTTTTAGCTTTAATGTAATTGAACTTTTGTTTTTGTCATTTTTTTCTAAAATAGCTCTAACAAAAGTTGTATCCATCCAATACATGTCTTCTTCACTCAGTATCCCATACTTATACTAAACGTTATTCATACTTTATCTCAAAACCAGCACATAGGACTTAAATTGATCAATAAATCATTGAATATCCTGTTTGATAGGAGCTGAGATTATCAGCTGAAGGGAAAGCTGTCTCACTGGAGAAAATCAGACTCCATACTTCTGATCATAGCAAATCTCATCTGCTTCTCCGTCTGGGAAAGGACCATATGGCTCTTCTCAAAGTCAGCAAGGATCAAATTCAGGTGGTGAAGGATCTCCCCAAGGTAGGACTCACATCAGCTATTTATAGTAAAACTTTGTTCTAATGAATTCCCAGGGTACCATTAAAATCACTTTGTCATGACCTGTAAAACAGGTTATCTGGATAAAGGTGTCTGGATTATCAAGGGTTCACTGTATCATTTTCACATCATCCTGTATTGATGTGAGATTTTTTTTCAGACTCTACAACTAAAAAATTTGTGTAGACATTGACACAAAAGAGAATTGTTGTTGTTTCATATTAAGCCTGGCATATTGTGTAACATCATGCTGCAGTCGACCATGAAGTTATAATGTCATCATCAAGAATGTGTTCTATCTCACTTTGTTATTAACGAGACAAAAGATATGTATACAACAAGCCATATTGTCCCTTATCACACTTACCTTCTGTAGAACAAAGGTCATATTCAGAAGAGCGCTAATATTACCGGTTAATGAAAATAGACAAAAAGAACATTATTATGAAAAAAAGTGTTGCTGTGAAGACAAGATTGTACATTATGTGATGATTAATTGAAATCATATGATCACTGTGAAGACATTACTGTACACTATGTGATTACTATGATTGACTGTTGTTCACCTGTATTGTATCATGTGATCTACTGTAAACCTGTATTGTATCATGTGATCTACTACTGTAAACCTGTATTGTATCATGTGATCTACTACTGTAAACCTGTATTGTATCATGTGATCTACTACTGTAAACCTGTATTGTATTGTGTGGTTGTAGGTGTCAGCTGCCTATGTGTCTAAAGTGGAGGATCTGGATATCCTGTTGACACTCCAGAGAGCATCTAAACAGGTAAATATTCCAGAGGGCATCTAAATAGGTAAATATTCCAGTGGGCATCTAAACAGGTAAATATTCCAGATGGCATCTAAACAGGTAAACATTCCAGAGGACATTTAAACAGGTAAACATTCCAGAGGACATCTAAACAGGTAAACACTCCAGAGGGCATCTAAACAGGTAAACACTCCAGAGGGCATCTAAACAGGTAAACATTCCAGAGAGCATCTAAACAGGTAAACACTCCAGAGGGCATCTAAACAGGTAAACATTCCAGAGAGCATCTAAACAGGTAAACACTCCAGAGGACATCTAAACAGGTAAACATTCCAGAGAGCATCTAAACAGGTAAACATTCCAGAGGGCATCTGAACAGGTAAATATTCCAGATGACATTTAAACAGGTAAACACTCCAGAGGACATCTAAACAGGTAAACATTCCAGAGGGCATCTAAACAGGTAAACACTCCAGAGAGCATCTAAACAGGTATATATTCCAGAGGACATCTAAACTGGTAATTATTCCAGAGGGCATCTAAATAGGTAAACACTCCAGAGGGCATCTAAACAGGTAAACATTCCAAAGGGCATCTGAACAGGTAAATATTCCAGAGGGCATCTAAACAGGTAAATATTCCAGAGGACATCTAAACAGGTTTATACTTGTCTGCCCCTCATCCTTAATCCATTTGTCTTTCCCATGGTTTATCCATTTCATATTCATGCACACATCATTAGTAAATAAAACTGAAAATGCTAGCCCTAAGCTTAAACAGATATAACAGAGAATTGTGCTGTATTATTGCTATATAAATACTATATTTTTTAGCTTTTGTTGATAATCTGATAAAAGTAACAGAATTGTTATTTTCTCTTTACAGAGTGTACTTCTTGTGGGATATGATCTAGCATCTGGTGGAGAGATTACAGAATTGTCACAAAGTATTTTGTTTCCTTCCAGCCATGGTCTGCCTATCATGGTAAGTTTACAGAATTGTGTTTCCTTCAAACCATGGGCTGCCTATCATGATAAGTTTACAGAATGGTCACAAAGTATTGTGTTTCCTTCCAACCAAGGTCTATAACCTTTTTAAGATGAAATTATGAAATTGATCAAATCAACAAAAGTTGTTCTAATCAGATGTAAGCTATTTTACATTGGTTACCTCTAGATAAAAACAAGGTGCACCTCATTGCTGTGTAAGAGTAGACCAGTGGCAATTTCGTGGATGAATGTAGCTTAAATCTATTAATACTAATTAACAGTTTTTAGACGTAGGAATTGTTGTAGTAAGAGTATCTGCAAATTCACTGAAAATAAATCTCCCACAAGAATTAATGGTTTTTCAGTAAAAATACCATCAGACTAACAGTAGAAAGTAATGAGAAAGACACCTGATACCTGTCCATTGTTTTGTAGCTGGATGCTGTTGTGGTGAAGAAGAATGGCCGCTTGGCATACAAAGCTGTGGTGAGGTCTGAGGATCAGTCCCTTCAACTTGTCCAAAAGACTGGTTTGTAGATCCTGTCACTATGCTTAAAATCCTGTCATTGTGCTTAATTCATATAGTAATTTATATAAAGCAAAACTTATATTTACACAGACCCTATAGACTTGTTTCACTGATTTGTATATCCTGTCATTGTGCTTAATTCATATAGTAATTTATATAAAGCAAAACTTATATTTACACAGACACTTTAGACTTGTTTATCTCTAAGAAACTCACTTGGTGACCCATTCTTGTAACAACGTCGGCCATATTTAGGTCTAATAACTAAATCTTCTCTACCTGTAATGTAGGGAGAGTGTCCTGGAAGAGAGAGGAAGCTTTGGCCTCAGTTCTGGCTGTAGAAATGGTGGACTTCCCTGTGTCTGAAAACCAGGCAAAATATGAGGATGAGTTTGGTGCTCAGAAAGGTGAGATAATTAAATGGCTGTAGTAGAGGAAAAGGGAGACAATCCTGACGGGATGGAATGAAAGTTGGCAAATTGGCTGGAAAAGATTGAGTCAATTTTTCCCAATCATACTGTTGTTCAAAATGAAAATTGAAAACTTTTCATTGATAGGAGATCCTCAAAAGTTACATTTTTCTTTCTCCACAATATCCTGGTCCTCCTTGGCATTGTGGTCAAGTTGACTTCATTTTATTTAGGAAAAAATAGTGTTTTTGGTAAAGCTGGTACATGGTACATTTAGTGTTACTCATCTCCATCACAGTCTATTTTTGTCATGATGCTCACAGAACAATATCAGCATGTAATGCAATGAAGATTTATATGTTACACTTACAGTACATTGTGATTTAACCTTGCTTGTGTGTTGTTCTACCTGAATATGAAATGCTGGGCATAATTTTTTGTTTTGTTTTGCGAAGCTTTGTTTGTAAATTTCTTAAGATGAGATATTATTGATGTAAGTATTGTCAACTTATTGCTCTAAACTGTTTGGATGAAAATTGTCTATGTATGAAACAGAGATAGACTGTCAGGATTTCCATCTGTACCAGGAAACAATCCATTCACATTTATAAAAGATGTTTACATCTTGTGTTATGTTTGATCCATTTCAGAAGATATTATCAGCATGTTTGTGAAGAGGTTTACCACACAGTTTCAGCAGCTAAAAGTAAGTAATCAATATTAAGATGGAACATTACTTAATAATACTACTAACATGATAATTAAGTGTTGATACAGACACCAACTTCTGAAGTATGATTTTAAAAATGAAACTGAGCCATGTTTGTTAATGTGGACCGTTTTGGCAGCACGTCAAATGTAACAGTTCAGGCATAAATCAGATGGACCTGCAGGTATTGATATAGGCCTCTAAAGGCTTAGTCAAAACTCATCAAAAATCAGTAGGTCCATCCTTACTTCATGAACAAATTGATCTAACAGTAAACGTCCCTTTCAAGTGCCTTACCATACATAAATTGAAACTTGTTTAATATAAGGAATGGTTGGAATATCTATTTAAAACAATTACAAATGAATTGATATGTAAAAATGTGTACAGTTGAATTCCATCCCTTCTTAGGATAAGATATAAAATATCCCAGTTAATCATTGAACTACTGTCTTGTTTTGTCATTTATGGCAGTATAAATGACAAAGGTATATAGCAAACATCATATTCCGAGTGCTGGTGAACTGTCCCCATTTCTAACCCTACGCTAATGAGGTTATAATGGTAACAATCTTGTTGTCATTTATGGTACCGTAAAGCACACTAAATTTTGGTTACCTTATTCCTGTACAATTGAATATATCTATTGTAGCATTTATTGAAAGATTCATAACAATGGGTTTTTAAGACTGAACCACTAAGAGATTCCACAATTACAATATTCCTTGTTTTTTTATGTCAGACTCTCGCCATCCAGCAGCTACAAAAGTTACAGGGTCATCGTCATCACGGCATCCTGGAGGCTGATGCTATTGAGGGAGATGAAGAAGAAGAGGAGCTAACACGTGATGAGTTCAATATCAATAAGATGATTGTACTGGTTACTGGGGCTGGCAAAGTAAGTCCTTGGTTTTATTTGTCACTTGTTGATATTGCAGTAAGACCGGTATAGTTTCATTATGTAGACAGAGGTAAAATATTGAAAGAGAATTGTACTGAGTGACCTGTCAATAATTACTGATTGGTAATGTCTGGGTTAAGGGTCTAACTGTAATATCTCGTCCCTACATACTGCTTAAGCTGAAGTTTTGTCTCGTTTCAGATTTTTGGACTGAGAAGTACAAATGGCCATGTACAGTGGTCGGTTTACTTGCCTGATTTGATCGCCTTTAGGAGTAATGACAAGGAAAAGATATTGTTGTTTGTACAAAGAACCACCGCCCATTTTCCTAACCTTCCTCAGTGTGTTATTATAGGGAAGAATAAGGTGGGTCAGAAACTGTTCTCTCTTAGTCAACAAACACCTTTATACCTGTTAGAACTTCACTGTGTGGAAATATAGAATGTTTTCAATTAATAATATATATATGTTTCATCATGATTGACTTAATATGTGTAACATGGCTGTATTTAATTTAACATAATTAAAACTTGTCAAGAATTTTTTACTTTAAAAAAAAAGTTGTCTCCCTTTGTCTCCAGAGGACTGGTCAGGGCCTGCTATATGCTTTTAACCCCATCAGTGGTCAGCCTGTTGGAGATGTCCCATATGGAGGACTGAACCTCGATTACAATGTCAGACAAGCCTTTATGATCGGTGAAGTAGATGATCATTTTCTTCGTGGGATCGTTTTCCTGGATGATAATCATCAGGTACCCTTTACTTACCAATAGTTGGATTATTTCCCTTTTATGATTTTTACTCTTTCATTTGTAAAAATATGGATCAAATAGATAACTCCTTTCATTACCAATTTTCACCTTCAAGTTAGGATTTCAAGTAAAGGGATCGGTATTCTTCATGAAGTCTTTCATCAGAAAAATAGTCGACAGAATAAAGTTCATACTTAATGACAATTTGATATGATCAGTGCCATTGTGTAGCTATTGTCCTATCTCCCAAACTGATTTTTTCAAACTTCAGAGGTTTAATCACTATAACATGACGTTGTGTTCTCCTAAACAGCAGCTTTATTTGTCTGTATTTGTAAAAATTACTGTCTCTTGTTGTTTTCATAACTTTAGTCTTTTCCACAGATTTCATCCTTCAGTTTCAAATAATCTCTGTAAGACCTAGTATGTATTAAATCTTTTAAATGTATAGTACTGTCTTCCCTCTTGACATCTTGACTCATTAATGTCATTTCCATGTCTATATTTTCAATACAATAAATCATGAATATTTCTTTCACAAAGAACAGGTATATATTGTCCTGCTCTGCAATACATTTTGTTTTTTTTTTTTTTTTTTTTGAAATGTTAAGCATAAACCTAGAAATGTTCATGTCTGTTGCCATGGATATCCTCCCTAGTATATTTGTATACATTTTCTTTGACCTTGACATTTCTGTTTTTCTGTTATAGATCCATACCTACCCTGAAGCGTTCATGTCTGTTGCCATGGATATCCTCCCTAGTATATTTGTATACATTTTCTTTGACCTTGACATTTCTGTTTTTCTGTTATAGATCCATACCTACCCTGAAGCATTCATGTCTGTTGCCATGGATATCCTCCCTAGTATATTTATGTACACTGCTGATTCCAACACAGGCTATTTGAAAGGCTTTAAAGCCAGGTTAAGGAATAAGGTAGGTGTGTCGCCATAGAGATGAGAATATCTTGTATAACTCACACTCTCCATCCAATAAACAAAATCTGGAATATGTTTAATTCTCATTTATTGAAAATGATTGATTTTTAGAAATAAATACCATGAATCATCAATATCTTAACAGATGTTTGCAATAGAATTATGAATTAAAAATGAGACTACTGGAAAAGATAAATGTGTCAGTCTACTAAACTCTATAAATGAAATCAAAGTGCTTGTTGACCAGACTTTTTGTTGCCCAGTAAAAGTAAGCTAACTGGCTTTGTTATCTCTATCTGTCATAAGTCACTGTATCTCTATTTGGTTTACTTTAATTTTATCCAGATTTCTAGTTTTTATTTGGTTTTTATTCATTGTTTTTGTTTTAACTGTTTTGGATTTCTATCAGTAGTACAAGCTATGTAAATGATTTTTTGACAAAGATTTCTCTAGTTTTGCGCTTCATCAAAATTTGGAAGATCTTTTGAGACTATAACATTAATGTTACAGGATATCGTTGCTGACAATGTGTGGAGTATCAACCTGCAGAAAAAACAGCAGACAATCACAAACGTAGTGGGGAAAAGGGTTCTGGGTAAGTCGTCATCTTCATGGAATTTAATTGTAGTGTTTCATGGCTATTTCAGTTATATAGTCCAATAGTTAGTTTTTTTTGGATGTGCAGCTGTGTGTTGTGTCCAGGTTCTAAAGTAAAGAAATGTCAAGCTTCATTACAAGGATGGTGAACCACTCTGTTTAATTCCAGTGCTTATTACATGGCGTATGTCTAAGAGCAGTAAGTTAGCTAGATTGTGTATTCCATTTTTATGCCCCCAGATTGAAAGAACGGGGTCGTATCTGTTTTTGTGTTGTTTGTTTGTCTGTTGTCAACTTTAATCTTGCTCATAACTATTCCATCGTAGGAGTTAGAGGCTTTCATATTTGGCATATATGTTCCTTGTGACAAGACCTTTCCAATGTAGCCAAAATATTTCACCATGTGACCTTGGTCGTGACCTTTGACCTACATTTGAAAGATTTTAACATTTGCCATAACTATTGCATTGTAAGAGGTATGGCTTCATATTTGCTATGTGTGTTCCTCATAACAAGACTTTTCTGGTAGTATTAAAATTTTTGACCATGTGACTATGACCTAGACCTTTGACCTACACTTGAAAGTAAAAAAAAAAACATTTCAACAATAAAGACGTAAGTGTTTCACAAAGTGTGCATGCAATTAGCACATGTCTTTCCCATTACAGTTTTGATGTCCCACTTCAGAATTATGTTGCAGCCGGGGGAATAGTGTTTCATAAACACATGTTGTTTAATCAATAATTGCTGTAGCAAGAAAAAGATGTGTTTAATTTTCCCTAATATATCTACAGAACAAGTCCACTCTCAAGGACGTGTGTTGGGAGACAGAAGTGTTTTGTATAAATACATTAACCCCAACCTGGTGGTAGTGACTACAGAAGGGGAGGAGTCCTCCAGTCTCACTAAAGGTAAAGTTTCTGATAACTTGATAAATACGAAATTGTAGTTGGTAATTGTAGGCACAAGTGAACTAAGAAAGTATGAACACATTTAGCTGAGCAGATCATAAATATTTGTTGAAAAGAGAGGCCTAGCTTTAAATTTTATATATTGTATCACAGAATCTATATTTAAATTTTGTTTAATTAAACCATGTTAATAAATCATTATTGCTGCTAATGATTTTTTTTTCTCAAAAGGTTCCAGCAATTTTGTGAATATCTACCTGATTGATAGTATAACCGGTCACATTGTGTTCCATGCTGGTCATAAGAAAGCTAGAGGTCCAGTTAATGTGGTGCATGTAGAGAACTGGGTCGTGGTGAGTAACACTAGGGGACATATACAAAGCTGAATTATAAAAATTTCTAGTGCTAACATTTCCTATAGTGTAGTATCAGATGTGCTGTTAACAAGACTTTCAACCTCAAAGGCAAAATCTTCTCTCTGACCATAATTGAATGGATACTCACTGTTCCACCAGAAACTGATTCTTCAGTCGGTCAACATTCTTACATTGCTTTACTTTTAGTATGATTACTTCAACCAGAAGGCACGTCGTCATGAAATAGCAGTGATTGAATTATTCGAGGGAAAGGAACAAGGCAACTCCTCAGCTTTCTCCTCCTTCACGGCCCCACGAGAGCCACTTGTTCTACGTCAGTCCTACATCATGCCAGTCCACATCACGACCATGGATGTCACAGTGACAGAAAAGGGCATTACTAGTCGCAGTCTTCTGTGTAAGTATCAAGGATGACCAGCCACAGTCTTCTGTGTAAGTATCGAGGATCACCAGTCACAGTCTGTGTAAGTATCAAGGATGACCAGTCACAGTCTGTGTAAGTTTCGAGGATGACCAGTCACAGTCTTTTTAAGTATCGAAGATGACCAGTCACAGTCTGTTTAAGTATCGAAGATGACGAGTCACAGTCTGTGTAAGTATCGAGGATCACCAGTCACAGTCTTCTGTGTAAGTATCAAGGATGACCAGTCACAGTCTGTGTAAGTTTCGAGGATGACCAGTCACAGTCTGTTTAAGTATCGAAGATGACCAGTCACAGTCTGTGTAAGTATCAAGGATGACCAGTCACAGTCTGTGTAAGTTTCGAGGATGACCAGTCACAGTCTGTTTAAGTATCGAAGATGACAGTCACAGTCTGTGTAAGTATCGAGGATCACCAGTCACAGTCTTCTGTGTAAGTATCGAGGATCACCAGTCACAGTCTGTGTAAGTTTCGAGGATGACCAGTCACAGTCTTCTGTGTAAGTATCAAGGATGACCAGTCACAGTCTTCTGTGTAAGTATCAAGGATCACCTGTCACAGTCTACTGTGTAAGTATCAAGGATGACCAGTCACAGTCTGTGTAAGTTTCGAGGATCACCAGTCACAGTCTTCTGTGTAAGTATCAAGGATCACCTGTCACAGTCTTCTGTGTAAGTATCAAGGATCACCAGTCACAGTCTGTGTAAGTATCGAGGATCACCAGTCACAGTCTGTGTAAGTTTCGAGGATCACCAGTCACAGTCTGTGTAAGTTTCGAGGATGACCAGTCACAGTCTTCTGTGTAAGTATCAAGGATGACCAGTCACAGTCTTCTGTGTAAGTATCAAGGATGACCAGTCACAGTCTGTGTAAGTATCAAGGATGACCAGTCACAGTCTATTATGTAAGTATCAAGGATGACCAGTCACAGTCTGTGTAAGTATCAAGGATCACCAGTCACAGTCTTCTGTGTAAGTATCAAGGATCACCAGTCACAGTCTACTGTGTAAGTATCAAGGATCACCACTCACAGTCTGTGTAAGTATCAAGGATCACCAGTCACAGTCTACTGTGTAAGTATCAAGGATGACCAGTCACAGTCTACTGTGTAAGTATCAAGGATCACCAGTCACAGTCTACTGTGTAAGTATCAAGGATGACCAGTCACAGTCTGTGTAAGTTTCGAGGATGACCAGTCACAGTCTTCTGTGTAAGTATCAAGGATGACCAGTCACAGTCTTCTGTGTAAGTATCAAGGATCACCTGTCACAGTCTTCTGTGTAAGTATCAAGGATCACCAGTCACAGTCTACTGTGTAAGTATCAAGGATGACCAGTCACAGTCTGTGTAAGTTTCGAGGATGACCAGTCACAGTCTTCTGTGTAAGTATCAAGGATGACCAGTCACAGTCTGTGTAAGTTTCGAGGATGACCAGTCACAGTCTTCTGTGTAAGTATCAAGGATCACCAGTCACAGTCTACTGAGCATCAATCATTTCTATTATAATAATGATATTCTTATTTACTTTAAATTCAATATTTTCTCATACTGCTGTGAATATTTTAAACAGGATCAGTTGTATGATTTTTGTGTATTTCAGTTGCCATGACAGCAGGAAAAATTTTGTCCCTACCGAAAGCACTTCTAGATCCCAGGCGGCCAGTTATTCCATCTCCTGAAACAATGTAAGTAACATACCATATCTTTTTATGTGTCAAGGAAATTAATGCTGATATAATTGTATAGATATGTTTTACTATTGAATGCCTTATATTAGATTTCAGGATATACACAGTTGTCAGATTGTATTCCTGTCTGTCATACAGAGTATTTTTGTTCTGATTTTTAAAAAAAATTATAATCATTACATACATACATATCCTACAACCATCATTGTTATCAGATAGACAGTATAAGTTTAAAATTTTATTTCAATGTATATTTCCTATGACAGGGAGGAAGGTACCATCCCCTACATTCCCGAGATTCCCATTTCCACAGAGATGATGGTAAACTATTACCAGAGTGTTGACAAGATTAGGGGTATACACAGCTCCCCTGCAGGACTCGAGTCAACCTCCCTCGTATTTGTATATGGTCTAGGTTAGTATTATGATAGGATAACAAATTTTTAACTTGAAGGAGAATTGTTGTTGCTCTGTCTCATCTTGTTTCTGTAAAAAGGGGCTGTGGCTAGTGTCATGTGTACCATCTCTGACTTGTTTTTATACATTTTCTGTGAGTTTATGAAATTTCATTCCCCGCCTAATCCTTCTAGTGAACAGATGCACTATTACTAAATTAATGTCATGTTTGTTTTGTTTTTACAGATCTGTTTTACACACGAGTGACGCCCTCACGAATGTTTGATGTTCTCAAAGAAGATTTTGACTTTTATTTTATATCCCTTGTCCTCTTAGGGATGTTTCTAGTCACCTTTATCACTCAAAAATTAGCGTCTAGAAAGGCACTTAGTCGAGCTTGGAAGTGATGATAATAAATGTAGAGTTGTCAAATCAAATAGAATTTTGTACCGTAGATCTCTTTTTACCTATTACAAACAATCTTATCATTCTCCTGAATACATTAATGCTCATCTTCACGACATCTTTGTGATGAGACGATAGGTAAATGTTATGTATTATGCTGTCTGCTTGAGATAATTTCCACACACTTGTGTAATTTATCTGTGGTAAGGAAAGTGGAGTAAAAGTTAATTTGAGATTTCACTTATTCTGAAGCTGAATCTGATATGACTTGTATGTCAAATTTGTTTAAAAATGATTGGGCTTAGTAACATATAAACAACATATGGCTTATTTAATAGATAACTAAGTCTAAGGGCTTATTTCACAGATAACTAAGTCTAAGGGCTTATTTCACAGATAATGAAGTCTAAGGGCTTATTTCACAGATAACTAAGTCTAAGGGCTTATTTCACAGATAACTAAGTCTAAGGGCTTATTTCACAGATAACTAAGTCTAAGGGCTTATTTCACAGATAACTAAGTCTAAGAGCTTATTTCACAGATAACTAAGTTGAAGGGCTCATTTCACAGATAACTAAGTCTAAGGGCTTATTTCACAGATAACTAAGTCTAAGGGCTTATTTCACAGATAACTAAGTCTAAGGGCTTATTTCACAGATAACTAAGTCAAAGGGCTTATTTCACAGATAATTAAGTCTAAGGGCTTATTTCACAGATAACTAAGTCAAAGGGCTTATTTCACAGATTACTAAGTCTAAGAAAGGAACAACAAAATATATCAATTCACATATAAATTGAATGTAAAGGAGATTTTTTTGTACAATTTATAAAACTGTTACACAGACTGCCTGAAGGCATCCTGATTATTAAACATTCCTTCACAGATAAACTCAGCATTTAGGAGACTTATCTTATGGAGATAATAGGTAACTTGGGTTAAAATTAAAGGCAGACATGGATTGTAAATTATATACATTAATTTTAGAATAGTGCAGTAAAGATTGTTCACAAAAAAGCCCTAACTAACTTTAACACTAAAAATGAGGGGAAGGGGACTTTTTGAGTGTAAATACTTTAATCTACCAAGTGGCATGAACGTGAATTGATGTACCAGCAGTAATCTGGTATCTTGGAAGGCTTATTGCCTTGTCTAATTGATCTATATATACACTAAAGGTACCTCAAGTTAATGTGTTCCTAATATACAGTGCTAATTGTCAGAATTTAAAGGTATATTATACTTCACCGGAATGTCGGTTTTACTGTTTCTTTGGATTAGATAACAAATTTACTCTTTTTATTTTTCTCATGTGTTATTTCCTCTGTGTTTTTTGTTGCTGGCTAGCCTAGACCACATGTCAGAGTTTCGATATATCTGTTTCAGGATCAATTATTAAGCAATATGATTACGATTTCTGACTTCACTCACCATAACCCTTACTGCCTCTTTATAGACTCTCTTTACTGACATTACAACACTGTCCAAGAATTCTTGTAACATATTTATCTAGTAAAACATCAGTGTCTTGTAATTAGTTCATTCATTTAGAATTATATTGTTCCAATTAACTATAATATTAATAATAATAATAAACCTTCTTTATTAAGGAAGAAACATGTTTAGCCTAATCTTCCACATCTTAGTAACTACAAATGCATGCTATTTCACTATCCTATAATGCGCCTACCTCTGACTTTCAGTAAGGTAGGGTGGTCCCTCGGATTATTGCAGGATAAATACAGTTTATTGTGTGGCAGATGGTCAGTGTGCGGGAGATGGTCAGTGTGTGGGAGACGTGGCCAGGACTAGCGAGGGATAAAAATACAAACATCAAGCACTGCCTCTATTTTAAAGTATTCTATTATACATGATAAATGATTTACAAGGATGCATTTTTGATCAGAAATCTTTTTTTTAACTAGTCGAAGTGTGAACATTTAGTTTTGATTTTTACATCATTTACACCATTTTAATAAAATCTGGTGCTGTTTGATTGATGTGCTTTACTTTTGTAAGCAGTTTAAGTATTGCCTAGTAATACAAACTTAGACAGAGTTAGATACTGCCTAGTACAGATAGTCTTTTCCACTCTAACTGCAGAACTACAAAGGGGGCTAAGAAATTCTAAGATACTGGTATGTCAGTCCCTCTCGACATGCATAAAATATAGTGTGTTAAGTATAGTGTGAGTGTTACTAATGACATGCGTTTGAGATTTAAAGATCACTGTTGCATGGTAAGAGTTCCTGACTGTATGTTTATTACGGAGGTGGAAAGAAAAGGTAAATGTGCAATGATAGAGTAAGTGTTCATAAATAACTTATATTATAGGTATGTAGTTCTGTATGACATCTTTGGTGAGTTCTGTGCAAGATGAATAAATTGTATGTAAATGTATACAGGAAATTGAAGAATTTTATTCTCAAAGATACTTTACAATAAGAACGTGTACAGATATTGGGTCGTAACCTAAATGGGGGTGGCGATAGCTGACGTAGGTAAGACGTTTGGCCTATGTAACCTCGGGATCGGGGAAGATCTGAGGTGTATTTTCAAAGCTCCTTACTTATGTTTGTGTCCTTGGACAAGACATTTACCTTAATTACTCTGGAAAGTATGCAATGGGCCTCCTGTATGTTGTTCAGTGAGGTAGCCACCAGTTACTACAAGGAGACCCCACCTCAGAATGACTTTGGCTGTTCCAGGGGCAATAAACCTAGCATACAAAACAGCGTAGATAAATACCTTTGATTGATGCCTCAACCCATTTTATGTATAGTCTTATTGTAACGTGTGATTTGTGATTGATCTATATAAGGATGTCTTTTGTGACTGTGAAGTGTGTATCTTTGTTATATGTATACTTGTGAAAAACCATTACATGTTCATAATATACTTTTTAGAATTACCATAAGAATTATTTATGTTTATTACGAGTTCTAAGACTCTCATATTGTTTTTGACAAATTGATAATCTAACAATCTAACACTTCACCATGTTTATTCTGATCGATTGATATTAACAATCAAATTTTACAGATGTTGCGTATCTTCAGATTAGGTTATCTAACTAAGATTTGACACGTACAGGTATGTGATATATGCTTAAAGCTTTGGGCTATATACACTTCAACACGCCAGTTAAGGTCTCTTAAATAATGATCAAGTAGAAAAATAGTCCCCGTTATAAAAAGTAATCGTTGACCATTAACTTTTTTTATTGCTCATGATAAGGATGATTTAATCATGAGTACTCACTAATATATGTAAATTGTATTCTACACAAATCAATTGTGTGAATTTGGATTAGGTAAATACAAATGTAATGATGATTGACAAAGGTATGAGAGGGATATTTGTGTGTTCATCAATCACATGAATAGTGAATTTGTTTTATTATTCAATTAATCAACAAGTTGACATAGAAAATGAATTCTCAGTACCTAGATCTATCAAGCAAAGTTGGCCCTAGAAAATTAAAACATTATCAAAAACAGTCACTGCAAATAACTATGTGTATATGCTGTATCATGTATTAGGTGACGACATCAATTGGGAAGGGAGACATTACATTTCTATGTGTGCCTGTATCGCATTGGTGAGTATGTAATACAAAAACAGTGAGCCTGGGTGTATTGCCCTGGACACACCAGTACTACACAGGTAGAAATGAGAGAAAATGAGATTTATTTTTATTGGTATATAATCTTGGTTATTGAAAATGTAAGGAAAATCCATCTAAATTGTGTCAGTTGAATTTACTATTGCATCATGTTTTCTCCTCTAGAATGATCTCAAAGTGTTATTACAGGAGGTATACTTCACATGTAGGACTCATTTACCAGATAATCGATAAAGGAATCAATCATTCCTCTCATTTTAATGGCCAGATGATGAAATATTTCAGCATTTTGACAGCAGCGTTTCCGACATAATACATATGTAAACACAACCTGCCCTGTCCTTGGCATTAAATGAAAACATTGTTACTCCTAAATATGAAATCATGTGTTGAAATATGTACATAGGGAGGTTGAGATATTTCAACCAATACCAGGTACATGGATGTAAAGCTGGTTAATTGGTATGTAAGTGGAGAGATGTAAAATGATAATAATACACAAAAAGTTACTTTCTATGGAAAACTAATGTGACCTGCTAACTGGTTTATGCGAATGCTTAAAGCAAATGGCTTCGTGTGAAATCTGTTGATCTGAAAGTAGTTTTGTTGGGAATAATTAAACTGGAAAGTTTTTACAATGCATCATCGGTTTGCACAGTATAGTAGAAAAACTTTCAGCATCTCAAATTACTGAGGCCTAATTCATAAAAAATACTTCAGATTCAGCTTTTTGTTTAAGCATTAAAAGCAGTGTATTCAATTATATAGTGTCCAAAAAATTAACAAATTGCAACAACAGCATTAACAGTTGTGTATGACAACATAATCAAGTTACACCTGTATTACTTCAAAAACACATTAGGGTGTTCTTTAAACATTAGTTTAAGAAAGGTTAATGTGAAAACAGTTACACATTTTCTCTTCTGAAGTAAAATATATTTACAAACCCATTACAATATTACAAACAATCGTGGCTGAAGACAGTTAAAGTTAAACATCAAATTTCATGCCATGAAACAACCAGATTGCAACTTTGAAGAATTCACCCTACTGATCTCATTTAAAGCAGATTGGTTTTTTTTACTGGTGATTGATGTGAAATTTAAGTTGATGTGTAAGAAAGGTTGGATGAGTAATTTCTTTTCTCTCTATTTATGCAGATGTTTTTTGAAAAAATTGTGTGTTTGTTTTAACTGGTTTTTTTTTTCTGATAAGCACATGTTCACAATTGAGAAGTGGAAGAGAATGAAAGTTGATGCTGTGAGTATATAAACAGAATGTATGTAGAATACAAAGTATCCAGAACCCATTCCATGTTTACCAGGTTGTATTGTGGTAAATAAAATGAACTCACTGATAAAATCTACATATGTCTTGTTTTTATTTCCTCCAATGTTTAGTTATATGTAGATTCAAAACAGGGACCATCACATTTTGAATTCTTGAACTCCGTACGTTACAACCACTTCAGAACTCTTCAATTAAAAATTGAAATATCATATTGAGCACCTTCGGCCTGTTGAGGTGTATTTGGTGACTAAGGAATTTCCATTTGACTCTTTCATAAGCTTTGTTTTGCTTAAATATTCCTGATGAGAGATTTTTACTTATTTCATTCAAATCTACACAAGTTTTGCTGTAAAGATGGCTCAGTCAACCGTGACTATCACATTGATGATGATGTCATTATATTGTTCCAAGATGTTGCAGCTGAGTTATAACCATGTCTGTATAACCCTTGTTTCTAGGATACAAACTTTGTTACTTTATCTATGGTAGAGAATCCTATGATATACGTAGATGTACAGTGTCAAGATAACAATCTAACTAAACTAAAGGTCAAGGTCAAATTTTGCATCAATTCAAACACTCCTACCTATGGGTCCTTTCAGACCAGCCAATGTTCTGGCTTATGTCAGACAACACCTTCATAGTGTTACCATAATAAGTACTGTCTAAGGTCTCCAGCAGGACTTCCCATCTGGTCCCATTATACTGAGTGTTACCATAATAAGTACTGTCTAAGGTCTCCAGCAGGACATCCCACCTGGTCCCATTATACTGAGTGTTACCATAATAAGTACTGTCTAAGGTCTCCAGCAGGACATCCCACCTGGTCCCATTATACTGAGTGTTACCATAATAAGTACTGTCTAAGGTCTCCAGCAGGACATCCCACCTGGTCCCATTATACTGAGTGTTACCATAATAAGTACTAAGGTCTCCAGCAGGACATCCCACCTGGTCCCATTATACTGAGTGTTACCATAATAAGTACTGACTAAGGTCTCTAGCAGGACATCCCACCTGGTCCCATTATACTGAGTGTTACCATAATAAGTACTGTCTAAGGTCTCCAGCAGGACATCCCACCTGGTCCCATTATACTGAGTGTTACCATAATAAGTACTAAGGTCTCCAGCAGGACATCCCACCTGGTCCCATTATACTGAGTGTTACCATAATAAGTACTGTCTAAGGTCTCCAGCAGGACATCCCACCTGGTCCCATTATACTGAGTGTTACCATAATAAGTACTAAGGTCTCCAGCAGGACATCCCACCTGGTCCCATTATACTGAGTGTTACCATAATAAGTACTAAGGTCTCCAGCAGGACATCCCACCTGGTCCCATTATACATCCCACCTGGTCCCATTATACTGAGTGTCCCATTATACTGAGTGTTACCAGTCCTCCAGCAGGACATCCCACCTGGTCCCATTATACTGAGTGTTACCATAATAAGTACTAAGGTCTCCAGCAGGACATCCCACCTGGTCCCATTATACTGAGTGTTACCATAATAAGCACTGACTAAGGTCTCTAGCAGGACATCCCACCTGGTCCCATTATACTGAGTGTTACCATAATAAGTACTGACTAAGGTCTCCAGCAGGACATCCCATCTGGTCCCAACACATTATACTGAGTGTTACCATAATAAGTACTGACTAAGGTCTCCAGCAGGACATCCCACCTGGTCCCAACACATTATACTGAGTGTTACCATAATAAGTACTAAGGTCTCCAGCAGGACATCCCACCTGGTCCCATTATACTGAGTGTTACCATAATAAGTACTGACTAAGGTCTCCAGCAGGACATCCCACCTGGTCCCAACACATTATACTGAGTGTTACCATAATAAGTACTGACTAAGGTCTCCAGCAGGACATCCCACCTGGTCCCATTATACTGAGTGTTACCATAATAAGTACTGACTAAGGTCTCCAGCAGGACATCCCATCTGGTCCCATTATACTGAGTGTTACCATAATAAGTACTGACTAAGGTCTCCAGCAGGACATCCCACCTGGTCCCATTATACTGAGTGTTACCATAATAAGTACTGACTAAGGTCTCCAGCAGGACATCCCACCTGGTCCCATTATACTGAGTGTTACCATAATAAGTACTGTCTAAGGTCTCCAGCAGGACATCCCACCTGGTCCCATTATACTGAGTGTTACCATAATAAGTACTGACTAAGGTCTCCAGCAGGACATCCCACCTGGTCCCATTATACTGAGTGTTACCATAATAAGTACTGTCTAAGGTCTCCAGCAGGACATCCCACCTGGTCCCAACACATTATACTGAGTGTTACCATAATAAGTACTGTCTATGGTCTCCAGCAGGACATCCCACCTGGTCCCATTATACTGAGTGTTACCATAATAAGTACTGTCTATGGTCTCCAGCAGGACATCCCACCTGGTCCCATTATACTGAGTGTTACCATAATAAGTACTGTCTATGGTCTCCAGCAGGACATCCCACCTGGTCCCAACACATTATACTGAGTGTTACCATAATAAGTACTGACTAAGGTCTCCAGCAGGACATCCCACCTGGTCCCATTATACTGAGTGTTACCATAATAAGTACTGACTAAGGTCTCCAGCAGGACATCCCACCTGGTCCCATTATACTGAGTGTTACCATAATAAGTACTGTCTATGGTCTCCAGCAGGACATCTCACCTGGTCCCAACAAAGCTTCATGAATCTAAACAAGAAATAAACTAGCAGGGAAAGAAAACAGAAATAAAATCTTTCATTTTCTACTTTATTTCCATTTTCATATTGCTGTGGAATTAAAGGATCATGTAACAATCAGACGATTTGTTGATACATGTAAAATAAATACATAATTATCTTACCCATTGCAAATACATAATAATATGACTTCATTTTCCATACACATTTAAATCTGAAACATATGACAATTGCTCACAAATTCATTCACCTGTTACTAAATTTTCTTCATTTATTCAATTTTTTTCCCTTTATTTCATTTCCATACAAATAACACAATCTTTTAGCAGGACATCCCACCTGGTCCCATTATACTAAAACTTCTGATTTGTAAATTCCATGTGGATTATTTGTCAGCTACTAAATTCAATTTTTCTTTTACTTTCATTCCCATACAATCTATGTAATTTTTCCGCAACTCTTCAAGTTTTAATTTCAAATTTGCAATTTTAACAGTTTGTTCTATTGCATGTTTAAAGCTGGCCTGACTGTGCCTTAAACTCTGTGGCACTAGTACACCAAACCAGTTCAGTGGATCAGGAAATTGTTTTTTATTGACACTGACAGGCGTTTCTGCTGAACCTTTTTTCTCCTGATGGTCTGTTTCTTTTTCCTCTGTTGACATATTCTGTTCAGATTTTGGTACGTTACGTTTTCTTAGTCCAATGGTTTCTACTGAAGCATCTTCTGCAGGATTTTCATTTACGACTGATGTCATGTTACTGATGAGCACTAAATTACCTCCCTTGCTGCCATCCTCAACGTCCACTTTGATGGATGCTGCCATTTTGTTCTCATCATATTGTGACTGACTAATAGCTTTAGCACCCATGTTGTAACGAGCTCTTGACATTTGTAGGAATCCATTTTTCATGTCCTCGTTAAGACACGTCTGTTCTTTATACAAGTCATCCAGTGTGCTGAAAAACTCTAGAACAACTGCATCCAGCTTCTCCTCAATTTCCCCATTTGAATCCATCACTTAGCTGAGGTCATGTCTGGCAAATGAAATAAAATGATGATGAGCTGTTTTGCATTTTCATTGACAGACCTGAAGTCATTAAAAATAGAAAAAAATGAATCCATACAATTTGGTTTACATGTAAAACCAATATTTATCAAAAAAGAAAGAGGTGGGGCATTCAAACTACCTGTTAAGTAAGACAATACGTGTATCCATTTAGTCTACAAGTAGATAACATTATGTCACCATGGTCATCATGTTACGTTCTACGAGCATGTATGTTGATGTGAAGCCATCCACTTGTGGAATAATTTATGTTCGAAATGTGAAATCAGAAAAGACCAATCAACAGTTGCAGAATGTTAACAAAGACAAACAAGTAATCACTAAGTAATGCTTGGTGCTAAAAATAACTTTTTTCTCTTGAGCATATTTGTATTAATTTGGTGGAAAACAATAAATGGCAACTCTTAATGAAAATCCTGGATCGGCCTCTGTGAAGTACTACTTTGAAGATAAAGGTTGGTCAAACAGTTTCACTTGCATATTTGAAACATCTATATAGTCTTTTTTAGAATTCATAACTCATCGAAGGTGATGCATGGCATTTTTAGAGGATTTCAGTGTGATACACACTGAACCCACCAGGGTTGCTTTCATCTTATAACCAAGGGAGATAACTCCAGCAGTTTTCACTACACATTCAGCTTTGAAAGACACCTTTAAATGTAACGAATTAAAGAAAGGTCGGTTGATTCATCTGCATTACCTAATGTATATGAAGCAGTTACGGTAGTTCTCATATATATATGTAAGAGAGGTCATTATTTATGTCAATGCCTCCGCTAGGAATCGAACTCGGGACCCCTGGCTAACTAGTCTGACGCTCAACCAATCGAGCTAAAGAGAAATTCTCTCTTGCCTAGTATTGCAGCTAATATTTTACCAGGGTTACATACTCCCCCTCCAATAACTCGTCCTTGAGTTTCCAGGGGTTACAGCCATGCTTGTGGGGCATCAATAAGGAGGTAAAGAATCGGAAAAAATAGAGGGGACATGGACCATTAGGCCCCTGTTTCTGGATCGTCAACAACACACGCAAAAATCCAGTCCACCATAGCAACATACAAATTTGTATAATAATGATACTGTTATTATAATTTTTGAGTGGATCTGTCTTTTTTTTTTTAAGTGCTTTTAATCATCATTCAGATTAGTTTAAAAGACTACTAGAGTTGTTCATTTTTAAATTGGTGTCATAAACGGGAGAATCTGAGATTTTGTATCTTTCGTGAGATCTCTTTATTATCTTATTCCTGCATAAACACGTACACATAAGACATTTTGATGAATATATGTCTGGTTTGGCAGCTCTCTACCATGAATCCGGAACATTTGATTTTCAAAAATATCGATTAATCTGCAATCCAAGACTATTTACAATCTTAGGTGTGTCAAAATATACTTACGTTTAACCGAATTCTAGCCAATCAAACCCCAATGTACATTCAGGGTTTTCAAAACTAAATATGTGTTGTATGACGTTTCGTCAGCTGATGCTTTTTCCCCTACAACGCCGATGTCCGTTTTCCGAATTATTTTCGTGCCAAAAGTAGGATAGCCGGTATGTCGTTATTGAATTTTTGCTACTTTTAATTAAAAGGGGTAAAGAAAAGTGAAAATGCATCGTTTTACTGTACAAAGTCAGAAACTGATAACATTGAGTCTAACTATTTACTCTGTGTTTCTTTTCTTTTTGTTTAATTTTCAACATATCGGATGTTCACTTCCGGTTGTTAACATTACGGCGGCTGTCATTTGACTATGAACACAATATGGAGGTTTCACCGACTCAGGCCATTATAGAACGACAAAACATGGATGTTGATTCGAATTCACAGTCAGTTCGTATCAGAGATTTACCAGAGGAAATTTTAGAATATGTACTTAGATATTTATCTCCGTATAGGGATTTAAAATCCGCGATGTTGGTGTGCCACCAATGGCATCGTCTTGTTCAAGGTAAATGAAATATAAGCAAGTAAAATATAGCAATAACAATCTTATGTTAGATTTCCTTTGCGTTAGCGTCAAAATATGATGTCTGAAAATTTGAGTTAAGAGAAAAGAGATGTAATCGCTAGAAAACCTTAAGGATTGGTATTTGTGACTGTACTTTACAACTGATATCTCTTGACAACAATATTTGCAGATGAGATATATATGTACACCCTATATACTTAACTTTTATCGGTCTTTCTTACAAACGATGTGACATATATCTATCACTTCCAAAATATGGCCAAACTCAAAGCTTTGGAGAAGAGAAGGGAAATGAAATCGCATGCCTATTAATTTCCTGCTTTTATTATCAACACCTAAGAACAGAAAAGAAAAAAATTACACCTGTCCTATATGAACGAGCCTTCCAATATTTCACCACAGCTAATGTGAAATTACTGGTCTACTTCAAAAACATATTCCAAAGATTGCCATGAAAGCCAGCCTGAGACCCTAGAATTCATAATGAAAAATCCCTAAGTTAATTCCTCTGCCTAAAGCAGCCTATAATAGAGACCCTAGTATGTGTCAAAACTACAGATCAAGCTGCAAAGTACATTATAACAGGAACCGTAACACCAGTATCATCCCTTCCATCATCCATGTGCTAGGATAGCCACAAAGGTTTTTTTTCGCCTGGTAATCCAAATAACAGCTTCATCAGAAGATTTCTATACTTTCTTCAGTCAGTTATTCTGTGGGATTTTATAGCCAATAGGATAGGTTGGCAATGATCAGAATAAACACATGTACCTAGATTTTGTTTTTTTTTATACCTGAGAGGCAAGTTCACCAATTCTTAAAACTAAAAGCCATCAATTTTGATGGAGTTCATGGAAGAACATAGGAGAAGACTATTAACCAATTCTAAATCAGTGGATTATTTTAATTTATTCATTTTAAGATATTGTTATGCTTCCTGACTTCAGTAACCTTTCCAATTTTTTCAATATTTGTCTACATCAATTGACTATCATGATACACAGGTATTAGTCTGACTTGTTTTATTAACTTCAGGTGTGCTGCATCAAATCTACATGGACTTTCTTCACAGTCTATGGGACAGTAAAATAAGCTGGACAGAAATACTGCCAGAAGTTGGCTCCAATATTACCGAGCGCTATTCTCACTGTGCTTGTTACTATGACAAATCTGCCTACATTTTTGGTGGCTGTACTTCAACAAATACAACCTTCAATGACCTTTGGAGATTTGACCTTTCCACAAGACAGTGGGTTAGGCCACTAGCCATAGGTTTGTATTGTGACTAATTGCTTCCCAAGTCGTTCTGGCTTCAGTAAAGTAAATAACGGTACATTACAGTGGTAATTTTGTACCAAATTCAAATTCTGAAAAGTTTATTTCTGATCTTTAGGGTATATAATTATACTGATTACTATAAACCGACTTTCTTTCACGGCTACTAATTTTCACTTTTTCAACAATAAAAGAAGTTAAAAACAATTAACTTTCACAAAATCTGAAGTGTACAGTCTTCATTTAACCCAGTATGGATCCCAATTTCCAGTCACAAATTTTACCATAACAAATGACTTGCCATAAGACATTTGAGGTACAAGGGTCAGCAATGACCTGTTCATTGTCTAGAAGAACTTCTGACACCTTATTAAAAGTGAATGTGGTACAATACCTTGACTAATAAGCCAGTCTAATTAACTTCAAAGTTCATCGCACATCTTGTGATTTTGTTTTGGTAGTGATGTGAAGGTCAGTCACAGTTATTTAAAAGCTTAAATGGCACTTTGTATACAGGTGACCTGGTCTTTGTTTTCAAACACACTATTGATCTTAACATGAGAATTCATGTACCAAACACCATCTCTTCAGAATCATACACTTAAGGGGATGAATGAATTATCTTATGTATTTGAATTAACAATATATTTATATATATAGTTATATGATAACTGTATGTAGTGTAAATGAGATTCGGGATAAAATGCATCAGTAACAACAAATTTTGATAATTGGTTTTCAAAAGTAATATTTCAATTCACAGCAATTAAAGCCCCAGTGTAAGCATCATTTGGCAAATTAACATTATGCAGAAAATTTCTTAGGAAACTTCCACTTTATAATTATGCAAAGATAATATTTAAAACATACCTAAGCTGAATATTATCTATAAAGAAACACTTTGTTGGGATCTAAAAATAGATAAAAATCAATAAAAGTGGGTCCCAGTTTAGTTACAAAGTGATGTTTTACAAAGTTCCTAAAGTTGTCATGTGACTAATGTGGATACTCAAATGTACCAGTAAAGTATGGTGTAGCAAATGCTGCATGCTTTTTGTGAGGTCATGTCACAGGTAGGTTACAGTTGTATAGTCATTCGATGGCTCTGTGAGGTCTGAATAGGATGTGTATGTATTTGTAGTAAATACAAACCTCTAACAGGAAAGTCTAACAGATTTTCTTACTTTGATGTGGCAAAGATCGCAAATGGAGGCATGTTTACAAAAACTGAATATCAGCTTTTATGTAAATATCAGCACACAATATTGTGTTGCATGTTTTTCAGCTAGGTGAATTTTTACATGCTGATATAAATAGATTATACATTACATGCATTTTTAGGCCATCTGACCAGAAGGGTCATGATGACCTAAAGCCATCATGCTTCGTCCCTTGTTGCACGCTGTCTGGGTGCATAAACTTTTGACATTTCAAACTTCTTCTCAAGTTCCACTGGTGAATTGAGCTCAAACTTGCTTGAAATGACCCTGAGATGGTTCTGACCAAGTGTTGTAATTTTCCGTGAATGTAAGATGGCCACCATGGTCACCATCTTGAAAAACATATTTGAAACTTCTTTTCAGTTCCACTGGTGCCATTGAGCTAAAAATTGGTGGGAATGTTAAGAAAAGGTAACCAACAATGTGTTGTTATTTTTTAACCATGTCAAAACTTTGTTATGGCATCCAGGGAGGCTATTTTGTAACATGACTGCACAATCATGGTTTTTCTGTACACCACCTATTTCAAACTTCTGTCCAAGTTTCACCAGTTGTAATGAGCTCCAACTTCACTATCAAAAAATAGGTAACACTTGTAACAGTTACCTTCTCACCAAAACTACCATCTGCATCATGGAAAACAGCTTCTTACATCATGGAAAACAGCTTCTTAGTAAGATTTCATTTAAAGTAGAAAAAATAAGCCTTCTCCCTGCTATAAGTTTTTGTAGTCAGATTACTGTGAAGGCCCATGGACCTCTTGTTTAGTGAAAGTTATGAATGTTTGGGCTTTGATTATTTTCAATTTTGTTTCAATTTCATTTTACAAATTTTCAAATGTTACCTTGACATGAACTCTTTTCCAAAGAATTCACGACATTTTATAGTAAATTTTTCGAAAATCATTAAAAATTCTACATTTACATACAGAGTTAGATGACAGTTTATCATGATGGTGCCCAGTTTATAATACAAACTTGGCTTGATATTTCAGGAACCTATCCATCACCAAAGGCATGTTCCAGCATGACAGTATATAAGGACAGTCTAGTTCTATTCGGCGGCTGGAGTCACCCTACTCCTTATCCCTTACATCAGGTCTGTAGTATTATCTCATGCTTACTGTACCCCTCTCCCAATATTCTCTGTCACCTTATCACCAGGGACTGGAGCCACCCTACTCCTTATCCTCTACATCAGGTCTGTAGTATTATCTCATACTTACTGTACCCCTCTCCCAATATTCTCTGTCACCTTATCACCAGGGACTGGAGCCACCCTACTCCTTATCCTCTACATCAGTGTCAACATAACAGTGTGTCATTCTCTACATTAATGTCAACATTGCAGTGTGTTATCCTCTACATCAGTGTCAACATTACAATGTGTCATTCTCTACATCAGGTCTGTGTATTATCATGTCAACATTCAGTGTGTCACCTTATCATCAGTGTCAACTTACAGTGTGTCACTCTCTTATCTACATCAACATTACAGTGTGTCATCCTCTACATCAGTGTCAACATTACAGTGTGTCATCCTCTACATCAGTGTCAACATTACAATGTGTCATTCTCTACATTAATGTCAACATAACAGTGTGTCATCCTCTACATCAGTGTCAACATAACAGTGTGTCATCCTCTACATCAGTGTCAACATAACAGTGTGTCATCCTCTACATCAGTGTCAACATTACAGTGTGTTATCCTCTACATCAGTGTCAACATTACAGTGTGTCATCCTCTACATCAGTGTCAACATTACAGTGTGTCATTCTCTACATCAGTGTCAACATTACAGTGTGTCATCCTCTACATCAGTGTCAACATAACAGTGTGTCATCCTCTACATCAGTATCAACATTACAGTGTGTCATCCTCTACATCAGTGTCAACATAACAGTGTGTCATCCTCTACATCAGTGTCAACATAACAGTGTGTCATCCTCTACATCAGTGTCAACATTACAGTGTGTCATCCTCTACATCAGTGTCAACATTACAGTGTGTCATCCTCTACATCAGTGTCAACATTACAGTGTGTCATCCTCTACATCAGTGTCAACATAACAGTGTGTCATCCTCTACATCAGTGTCAACATAACAGTATGTCATCCTCTACATCAGTGTCAACGTTACAGTGTGTCATATCTCTATTCAGTGTCAACATCCCAATATTCTGTGTCATCCTCTACATCAGTGTCAACATTGCAGTGTGTTATCCTCTACATCAGTGTCAACATTACAGTGTGTCATCCTCTACATCAGTGTATTCTCTCACTTATCAGTGTCAACATTACAGGTGTGTTATCTCATACATCTGTACCCCTCTCAACATTCAGTCTGTCATCCTTATCACCAGGTCAACATATCCTGTCAACCTTACAGGGTGTGTACATCAGTGTCAACATTACAGTGTGTCATCCTCTACATCAGTGTCATCCTCTACATCTGTAACATTACAATGTGTCCTCTCTCTATATTCTCTGTCACCTTATCAACAGGGTGTGTCATCCTCTACATCAGTGTCAACATAACAGTGTTATCCTTACATCAGGTCTGTAGTATTATCTCATACTTACTGTACCCCTCTCCCAATATTCTCTGTCACCTTATCACCAGGGACTGGAGCCACCCTACTATTTATATCAGGTCTGTAGCCTTAGTGTCGGCTCCCTGAACATATTGTAGTTCAATAAAAGTTTATGTCACACCTTGAAAAACGTTAAAGATTACATTTGATGTATTTTATTGAGTTTTCATTTATCTCCAGGCTGCACGTTTTTTCTCTGAGCTACACATGTACAAACCAGAGACAAACAGATGGTATCACATCACCACCATGTCCCCAACCAGTCCAAAGCCAACAGCGGGGCACTCTGCGTCTGTAGTCGGTGATACTATGGTGGTGTTTGGAGGTTCACATATTCCTGGAGCTGGGTAAGCTGTTCTTATCATTAACTAGAAATTAACTTTTGCTTTCTGAATTTCCGTTATTTACTTATATACCAGATTTCCTCTTGTCATCTATTAAAACCTTCCTGTATAACAGAGGTATGTGATATTTGTTCCTGTTATGTTCTAATTCCTCCTTTCAAACAAACAGAAATCATCAGTTATACCTCAAAACTATAATATAGAATATGGCTGACTTCAGCTTGTGCTTTCATGTGGTAAAATTACATGGAACGAAAAACAAAAATCATGTGACCACGCGGCACTGTTCCTCTAGAATCTTTTTTGCCTATAAACCTGGAAGCACATAATATATTTCTGCTACAGAGAAAGTTGTAAGGAATAGATAGGGAATGCTAAAGACCATGAGCACACTGTCTGACTGCAAGAACTCAAATAAAACTAACACCCTAAATGAATTCTTTACTTCGAGTAAACATGACAACACGTTAAGTCTGTCTCCAAGTCTGATTTGGGTTTATAAACTAGATAATGAAATAGAATTAGTTGATAATTCCTACCTGGCCAGGGTAAATTGTTTGGTATGGTAGATAGACTACTGGGTGTGTATAAAGTCATTGTGTTACCTTTAGTTATTATTATCTCTTATCTCTTTGCAGAACAAATGAAGTGTGGGTGTTTGATTTCAATGAAATGCTATGGAAAAAGAAACAGATAGGAAATAAAAAGCCAAGTCCAAGATACGGACAGACACAGGTGAGTTTTGGGTAATGATTTATAAAATATTACTCTTTGTAGTAGTTCATTCAGTCCTGAGGATTCCTAACGAGTTTGATACGGACAGACACAGGTGAGTTTTGGGTAAAGATTTATAAAATATTACTCTTTGTAGTAGTTCATTCAGTCCTGAGGATGCCTGACGATTTTGATACGGACAGACACAGGTGAGTTTGGGTAATGATTTATAAAATATTACTCTTTGTAGTAGTTCATTCAGTCCTGAGGATGCCTGACGATTTTGATACGGACAGACACAGGTGAGTTTGGGTAATGATTTATAAAATATTACTCTTTGTAGTAGTTCATTCAGTCCTGAGGATGCCTGACGATTTTGTATTGTTTAGAAATTTTGTAATATCAAGTCTAAAAATAGAATTCCCTGTAACAATGATTGATGTGTATCTAGTTTCTTGTTCTATTTCTGTCTGCTGATGATAAATGTAGTAAATTCTAATCATATTGATAAATATTATCTCTCAACTTTATTCACACAGAATAACTGATAGTAATCTCAGCTTGAAAATCCTGATCATTCATGTATCAAATAGACACAAGGAAGTAGATTTAGTAATCATGTTTAAAGTAGAGTTTGGGCCTGTATACTGATTTGTCATTCTGTTTTGACTTATAAAAAAGATTTCAGATTTGATGTTTAAAGCAGAATATGAACTTGAAACTTTTCATCATTTTTTTTTTCAACGATTCAGGAGTTGAATGCAGTGTTTTTTTGTGATTCATTAAGATTCATATTTTTGTTGTAACTTTTGTGTTTAAAGCTGAAAGTGAACATTGATACTTTTTTTTTATGATTTGTGTTTACAGATGACAATAGATGATTCACATATTCTAATCATCGGAGGATGTGGTGGGCCCAACCAGGTATTTGATATCTTCAGTATTTAATGGTTAAATAGTCTTTACTGTATACCTGGATATTGATACTGGGGCTGGCTCTCAATGTTAATAATTTTGTGAATTCTGGTTTTAAATATTATCTATTTTCTCTTTATTGGACTGTACAGATAATTTCAAGATTTGTTTCAATGATTTATTAGAATAAACTTATAATTTATTGGCAAGTACCCAGTAATTCTAATTAAATTTTTTCTGGTGAGTCCAGATCACCATTCCAAAACTTTGATGAGCCCAGTTAAAAGAAATATGATGGGTTCTCAGAATTTAACGAGTCCCACTGGAAAAGCATGAATACAGGACTGAGTTCCAAAAATCTTTGGTACCAATATTTTATTGGAATGTACCATTTGTTGATTGGAATGTACCAATATTTTATTGGAATGTACCATTTATTTATTGGAATGACCAATGATTAAATTTTAAGATGCTATCATCAGTGAAGAACTGCTTTAAAGCTTATGAAGATTTTATACGCAGATAAATGTATTTTGAAAATTATCCTGATGATATGTCAAAAATTGTATGCTTTGTCACAATAAAAACTGGAGTGAAATGTAAGTAGATGTGAAGTATATATCCAGGGTATGTGAAATGTAAGTAGATGTGAAGTATATATCCAGGGTATATTCATGAAAGTCTTATTATTGTTATTATTATGCTGATAATGACCTGGTAAGGTAATGTTGTCATCCATAACAGTACTCAAGCTGTATTCTGATGATATTCTTCCCTACGCAGATCTTCAGTGATGTCTGGCTTCTCTCCCTTGACTCCGAACCTTGGCAGTGGCAGGAAGTTCGCGTATTACACCCAGAAAATGCTGCACCTCAACTCTGGTGTCACCCAGCTTGCAAGGTATATGACCCAGTTAATATGTAAGCTTAGGGCAGTTAATGTCAGATATCACTCAGTCTGTAAGGTATGACCCAGTTAATATGTAAGCTTAAGGCAGTTAATGTCAGATATCACTCAGTCTGTAAGATATGACCCAGTTAATATGTAAGCTTAAGGCAGTTAATGTCAGAAATCACTCAATGATTGTATACAAGTCACCCCACCTGTAAGGCAAGACTTATCACTTGATTGTTTTCATGCACTGTACTCAAATATTACTCTACATGTATGGTGGAACCCAAAAATATGTACTCAAATATTGCCATGTCTGAAAGTAGAATCTAATCTGTGATGGTTTATATGTAAAAGTATACATAGTATAATAGCTGTTTCATTAAATGTCTTGATTATTTGCATGTGTTGATTACTTGCAGGTTGGAGACATGATAGTGGTCCTAAGTAAACCCAGCAAACCTCTGCAGTCTTCCTCCTCCAAGGATAACAGCCGTGAAAATCAAGCCACCATGCGGCCCACTTTCAGTGGAAACCGTGTATGGGTTCCCCCAAGAGGAGATAATTCACAAGACTCGCCCTCAGAAAATCGAAATAGGGCACATCCTATGCTTGTGTCAGACAGTGATGATAGTTCTGGAGCAGAAAGTGAGGATAATATGCCAGGTCAGGGAGGTCAAAGGCCAGAGTTCAAACATCCTTCATATTTACAGCTAAGGTCATCAAGGTCAAGAGGTCATATGAATCAGTCTCCTAGAGGAAGAGGAGGTCACTTGTCACCCAACAGACTTCAAGGTCAAGGACCTTTTGCTGCTGGTATGATAGGAGATGCCCCGGAACTTCCATCTGAAGAAGGGGCTTGTGGAGGAACATCTAGCCTTAGGCCAGGGGTGCCTTCCGTGCGACCAAATGCCATGAAAAATAGACAAAGACAGTTAGAGGCATTGAGAAAGTTTGAGGAAAAGTTGCGAGAGAGTCGTATTGTACAGTCCACTTCATCAGGCAGAGGACAAGGCAATGTTGTAGGTGGAGGCACTACTGGAAGTTGCCGTGAAAACCGTGTGACCATGCATTTACATGTTTTAGATATAAGTGAGGTGATTAAGACCAATACTGCTACCTGGAGACCAATCAATGAAAACATATCCTTAAACGCTCCAGAGGAAACAATATTCTACTCACTGGTGGAAGGTCGTGGAGAACTGATTGTGTTTGGTGGGATTCAGCGTGATATTCAGTCCATGCAGCGTGGTATGGACGTTAAGCCACAAGTTGTTAGCAACAGTCTGTATATCGTGTCTCCTCGTAAACAGTATTTATAGCAAGGGGAAGAGTGTGTCACCTTACAAACTTTACAGCTAGATCACAGAGCTGTGATACTGCCTGTATTTATGGCCAAATCTACAGAGTATCATACAGTAAAAGATATCAGCAACTGACAGCATATCTACTAAGCATTCAGACATCATAATATACTATATTAAAGGATTATCACAATTTCTTATTCTAAATTTTACAGCAAAGTTATTCTTCAGCCATGAAGAAAAATGTGACAACTATTCATGAAGACATTGTGATAAGAAATAATCCTATTTTGTTGCATTATTGTTTTGTGTGTCATATTGAGTACCAATGAAATTGGTTATGTTAAAAATCTATTGTGTTAAGTGATTTTCTGCAATACATGTAATCCTTGCTTGATAAGGCTTAGCTGATCTGATCTGAATCTACATCAAAGCTTGATTTCCATGCACAAGTGTGAATCACTTATCAGTAAAAGGGTAATGGTCTACAATACCCCTCAGATCTTACTGGTCTTTTTCCCTTTCTTTTCCATCAGGGAATATTACCCCATATAATTGTTAGGTACGATAAAGAAAAGCAAACTTAAATGAGATTCACTAAATTAAATTTGATGCCTTCAACAATAAATTAAAATTTCTTTTTGATAGAGTGCATATATATTCCTGACTCAATAACAACAATTGTTAAATCTTAACAGTAAGTCATTCTGCAGCATCTATGATTTTATGATGTACTTGTAATATAATGGTAATTTGAACAGAATGCAGCTATTGATACTGTAACATGCACCACAGGGATCCACACTGAAGAGAAATCCTTTCATTAGTTCTTCAGAAATAGCAGTAACAAAGCTAAAATATCAAATTTCAAAATGGCCAATGCCATTCATCTTGAAATTAAAATGAAGTTTGAAATTTTTTGCACAACTAAGGATACATATAGGTAAACATGAAGGAGACTACTGCTGTGTATGTGTATTATGTCCACATTGATACAGCCATGTATAAAATGTAAACTTTATTCATTTTACAACAATTGTGAAACAAGTTATCAGCTAATATTAAACACTCTTGATGGCCGTGATGGTTGCATATCTTACTGTGGGAGGAAACCAAAGTACCTGTGAAAGCCTACGTGGTCAGGCAGGTGACTCCATACCTTTTCATATCCATCCCATGAATCAAACCCTGGACAGCTAGGTGAGAGGCGAGTGCACTACCACTGCGCCTCCCGACCATCCCTAATGATGACTCTAGTCCTGGGGCGATATGTTTCATAGCTTATCTGAATGTAAACTGGGAATGCAAGTTTGAAAGAAAACAACATTTAAATATTTTCCTTAATGGGAGTTAGAGAAACCAGTCCCTTTGTGGTAAGTCTAGATCTTATTCCAAAAGTATTTAATATTTAATTTAAATTAATCTAGTATACATGTAAGTGACCTTTTTACTATCATATTTTTATTTTGAAAATTATACTATAAAATTGTTATGAGATGAATACTGAGCAAAACATTGACAATGCTACACATTATATGGTACAAGTTTACTTAATATCTAATGGTTAGTTTAGGAGTACATGCTGTGCATCGCTTTAATGCATCACTTTAAAGAATGTTATGTATCAATTTATAAACAGGCTGACCTAAAAAATCAACAAGGCAAAAAATGTTGATCATTGCTAACATCAGAAGTCGTGTAGGCATTTTGTGATCTTAGTTTCTATATTCTATAATTTTGTGACAAATTAAGCCTAACTGCTATTAGGGAAGATTATAACATCCAATAACTTTAGAAAATAACTTTTAGCAGATTTTAGACATTTTCCATTGTTTTTTCAGTCGAGTTCTGTATGAATTTACTTAGATTTTTTCTTTTCCAATAAATTTGATTTTTTATAAGTGGAAGATCTGCTGCATTCTGATTATATCTTTATTTATTGACATTTTGTGGAGGCTCATTAGTCCACTAAGTATGTTTCTAGTTTGACATCCAAATACACTGCATGTAAAACCCAGCTATTATAGTCAATTACAACAAGGATAACAAGGTCCCAGTGTCCAAATATACATCTAATTCATTTATTTTGTTACTTTTTGTTCTGTACTTGCCTTTAAGAATGAAAAGTGACACTTTACATTCATAGTACATTCCTAATAAAGATACATGTACTTTATTTAGTTTGTCTTTCACTTAACTCTAGAATATTACCATGTGTTTCCTCTGAATGCCACACCAGATGTTGGACATATTGACAGGGACTCCTACACCAGATGTTTGACATATTGACAGACAGGGACTCCTACAGCAGATGTTGGACATATTCACAGACAGGGACTCCTACAGCAGATGTTGGACATATTGACAGACAGGGACCCCTACACCAGATGGGTGGTCGGGTGGCGCAGTGTTAACGCACTCGCCTTTCACCTAGCCGACCGGGGTTCAGATGTTTGACATATTGACAGAACGGACGTGAAAAGGTAAGGGGTCACCAGATGTCCGACCGCGTGGGTTTTGTTGGACACATTGACCGGGTACACCAGATGTTGGACATATCCTCCCACAATAAGGCCCCTCGCGCGCTTACATCCGGGCCAACAAGAGTGATTAGTATAAGTTTAAATAACTTGTTTCGCAATTGTTGTAAAACAAATAAAGTTTATATTTATATATACCAGATGTTTGACACATTGACAGACAGGGACTTCTACATCGGATGTTGGACATATTCACAGACAGGGACTACTACACCAGATGTTGGACATATTGACAGACAGGGACTCCTACACCAGATGTTGGCCATATTGACAGACAGGAACTCCTACAGCAGATGTTTGACATATTGACAGACAGGGACCCCTACACCAGATGTTTGACACATTGACAGACAGGGACTTCTACATCAGATGTTGGACATATTGACAGACAGGGACTCCTTCACCAGATGTTGGACACATTGACAGACAGAGGCTTCTACACAAGATGTTGGACACATTGACAGACAGGGACCCCTACACCAGATGTTGGACATATTGATAGATAGGGACTCCTATAAAAGATGTTGGACATATTGACAGACAGAGTCTTCTACATCAGATGTTGGACATATTGACAGACAGGGACTCCTACACTAGATGTTGGACACATTAACAGACAGGGACTCCTTCACCAGATGTTGGACATATTGACAGATAGGGACTCCTACACCAGATGTTTGACATATTGACAGACAGGGACTCCTACACCAGATGTTGGACACATTGACAGGGCCTCCTACAAAAGATGTTGGACATATTGACAGACAGGGACTCCTACACCAGATGTTGGACATATTGACAGACAGGGACTCCTACATCAGATGTTGGACATATTGACAGACAGGGACTACTACACCAGGTGTTGGACATATTGACAGACAGGGATTCCTACACCAGATGTTTGACACATTGACAGACAGGGACTACTACACCAGATGTTGGACATATTGACAGACAGGGATTCCTACACCAGATGTTGGACACATTGACAGACAGGGACTACTACATCAGATGTTGGACATATTGACAGACAGGGACTCCTACACCAGATGTTGGACATATTGACAGACAGGGATTCCTACACCAGATGTTTGACACATTGACAGACAGGGACTACTACACCAGATGTTGGACATATTGACAGACAGGGATTCCTACACCAGATGTTTGACATATTGACAGACAGGGACTCCTACAGCAGATGTTGAACATATTGACAGACAGGGACTCCTACATCAGATGTTGGACATATTAACAGACAGGGACTCCTACACCAGATGTTGGACATATTGACAGATAGGGACTCCTACATCATGTGTTGGACATATTGACAGACAGGGACTTCTACACCAGATGTTGGACACATTGACAGACAGAGGCTTCTACACCAGATGTTGGACATATTGACAGACAGGGACTTCTACACCAGATGTTGAACATATTGACAGACAGGGACTCCTACATCAGATGTTGGACATATTAACAGACAGGGACTCCTACACCAGATGTTGGACATATTGACAGATAGGGACTCCTACATCATGTGTTGGACATATTGACAGACAGGGACTACTACACCAGATGTTGGACATATTGACAGACAGTGACTCCTACACCAGATGTTTGACACATTGACAGACAGTGACTCCTACATCATGTGTTGGACATATTGACAGACAGGGACTACTACACCAGATGTTGGACATATTGACAGACAGGGATTCCTACACCAGATGTTTGACATATTGACAGACAGGGACTTCTACACCAGATGTTTGACACATTGACAGACAGGAACTCCTACACCAGATGTTGGACATATTGACAGACAGGGACTCCTACACCAGATGTTGGACATATTGACAGACAGGGACTCCTACACCAGATGTTGGACATATTGATGCATAGGTGGCTTTTATAGGATTCAAACTTCAAATCTATGAAGGTCCACTTAAGATGAATTGGTGAACAGATGAATGCTGAAAAAATCCTGGACAATTCCTAATGTGTTACAACAATACAGTTTTTCTCAGCAGAAAGTCACTATAAACAGGTTTTTTTATGTAATTGCTGTAACTCATCAATCCTTTGATCAATTTTATTAAAACCTAGTCAGATGGTGTAACTTATCAATGGTTGTGATATGACACATCAGGTGTGTCCAGAACATGATGCAGGCTAAAACCTAGTCAGATGGTGTAACTTATCAATGGTTGTGATATGACACATCAGGTGTGTCCAGAACATGATGCAGGCTAAAACCTAGTCAGATGGTGTAACTTATCAATGGTTGTGATATGACACATCAGGTGTGTCCAGAACATGATGCAGGCTAAAACCTAGTCAGATGGTGTAACTTATCAATGGTTGTGATATGACACATCAGGTGTGTCCAGAACATGATGCAGGCTAAAACCTAGTCAGATGGTGTAACTTATCAATGGTTGTGATATGACACATCAGGTGTGTCCAGAACATGATGCAGACTAAAACCAAGTCAGATGGTGTAACTTATCAATGGTTGTGATATGACACATCAGGTGTGTCCAGAACATGATGCAGGCTTAAACCTAGTCAGATGGTGTAACTTATCAATGGTTGTGATATGACACATCAGGTGTGTCCAGAACATGATGCAGGCTAAAACCTAGTCAGATGGTGTAACTTATCAATGGTTGTGATATGACACATCAGGTGTGTCCAGAACATGATGCAGGCTAAAACCTAGTCAGATGGTGTAACTTATCAATGGTTGTGATATGACACGTCAGGTGTGTCCAGAACATGATGCAGGCTAAAACCTAGTCAGATGGTGTAACTTATCAATGGTAGTGACCACATAAGGCCCATGATATGACACATCAGGTGTGTCCAGAACATGATGCAGGCTAAAACCTAGTCAGATGGTGTAACTTATCAATGGTTGTGATATGACACATCAGGTGTGTCCAGAACGTGATGGAGGCTTCTGATTGGTCAAAATTGAAAATTTGTCCGATTATGCTGAAAATAGAAATATAACAGTTTTGTGGGAAGGCAATCACAATGACACCATTACAAAAACATCCAATATCATTTGGTAGCTATAGTGACCACATAAGGCCCATAATTTGTCAGAACTTTTCTAGACTGCTCCTAATGTTGTGGACAGATCTCAATGAAACGACACAGTGATGTTAGGGAGTATGTGTAGATGTACACAATGAAACGACACTGATGTTAGGGACTATGTGTAGATGTACACAATTAAACGACACTGATGTTAGGGAGTATGTGTAGATGTACACAATGAAACGACACAGTGATGTTAGGGACTATGTGTAGATGTACACAATGAAAAGACACAGTGATGTTAGGGAGTATGTGTAGATGTGCAGTTTCTGTAGCAGAAACTTTGGGGTTCCATGGTAATCAGGTCAATAAACACATGTTTTCATATTGAGTACCATAACTCTTAGTCCTTTGATTTTATTTAATTTTGATCAAGAACTACAGCTACATACAGTCTCTAATTAGACATTTTCAGTGTTCTTCTCTTTGCCACAACATACAATACATATTTACTTCATACTTATATATCATACATATCATATTATATATCATACATATCATATATCATATCTACATATCCTACAAAATTAATCATATGGATATATTACATGTCATATATATATACATATATCATATATATCATACATATCATATCATATATCATACATATCATATCATATCATATCATATCATATCATATTATATCATATCATATATATCATACATATCATATCATATATATCATACATATCATATCATATATCATACATATCATATCATATCATATCATATCATATCATATTATATCATATCATATATATCATACATATCATATCATATATATCATACATATCATATCATATATATCATACATATCATATCATATCATATCATATCATATTATACAAATTCTTATATATTTTTTCAGCACTTTACTTCTTTTCACACATTTTATGAAGAAATGACACAACAAACCTACAGACATGTCATCAAATACATTGATACAGTAACATATTGTCACAGACACATCATCTCAGAAACATGTCGTCACAGAAATATATCTTCACAGAAACATGTCGTCACAGAAACTTGTCGTCACAGAAACATATCATCACAGAAATATATCTTCACAGAAACATGTCGTCGCGTCACAGAAACATGTCGTCACAGAAATATATCTTCACAGAAACATGTCGTCACAGAAACTAGTCGTCACAGAAACATATCATCACAGAAATATATCTTCACAGAAACATGTCGTCACAGAAACATATCGTCACAGAAACATGTCGTCACAGAAATATATCTTCACAGAAACATGTCGTCACAGAAACTAGTCGTCACAGAAATATATCTTCATAGAAATATATCTTCACAGAATCATGTCATCCCAGAAACTAGTCGTCACAGAAATATATCTTCACAGAAACATGGCTGGATTCCTGGTGAAACATGTTGTAAACATGACCTATAAAATATCCTGTTATCAGACAATTAAAGTCAATCTATTATTATTCTGAACGTTCTGGTCAAGTTTATATAGATGAGTTGTATAAGTAGTGTTGGAAAGATTCCAGTAACAATTTTAAATTCTGCTATTGCAATGTTCTACTAAATTAATTCTTTTCAAGTTTCCACCATTCCTATTATTTATAGTTTACATTGTCCTGCCATTTGTAGGTTCCATGGTTCTGCTATTTCAGGGTTCTACTTTTTCTGTTACTTCAGGGTTCTATATTTTCTGCTAGGTCTTTCATTTCTATTTCATGTAACATTTTAACCACCTCTCCCACTTCCAATAAACCAAATGATTTTCGTCGCCTGTATGTCATCATCATGTGATAAAACGTCTTTCCTCTTCGTTCTTCTTGTCTGTTTCCCTTTGTATCAATCTTATTGGCTACATCACGACCCAGCAGAACTTGCACTGGAAAAAAGGGACAATTGACATGGATGAGATTACACTGAATCTTACTTGTTAATTATGTCACAAACTTTTATTCCTTTGTGAATGACAGACCAGTGTTAAAACACTGTTGTAATTGCTATTTTCAAGGATTCATATATTTTTTACTGATTTTGGGGAATGATTTAAAAAAAAAACCAGGTGCAATGAAGACCAAAAAATTAATAAAAACTATTCTTTTTCTTCATATCCAGTAAAAATTAATCCATTTTACTTATAAAGTTTTGGGAAAACCATGAGAAGTTTGGACCATCACAAAAACTACTTACTTTTATGGAAAAATAAATGGCTTTTTCGATGACAAGCGACCTTCTCAATAAGAGCTGCTATCTCTATATCTGTCATCTGTCGTGTAGAATCTGTGAAACAAGTGTTTTCAGTCAGAATACTGGATCAAAAGAATCTTATATGAGTTTGTTCAGCACAAGGCTTCCTGTCAGCCTGAGATTTAGACCATGACATCAGCACAAAGACAATGACTAGTCAGCACAATTTCTCTGTCTAAGATTTAGACAATGACTAGTCAGCACAAGGCTTCCTGTCTATCTGAGATTTAGACAATGACTAGTCAGCACAAGGCTTCCTGTCAGCCTGAGATTTAGACCATGACTAGTCAGCACAAGGCTTCCTGTCAGCCTGAGATTTAGACAATGACTAGTCAGCACAAGGCTTCCTGTCTATCTGAGATTTAGACAATGACTAGTCAGCACAAGGCTTCCTGTCAGCCTGAGATTTAGACAATGACTAGTCAGCACAAGGCTTCCTGTCTATCTGAGATTTAGACAATGACTAGTCAGCACAAGGCTTACTGTCTATCTGAGATTTAGACAATGACTAGTCAGCACAAGGCTTACTGTCTATCTGAGATTTAGACAACAACTAGTCAGCACAAGGCTTCCTGTCAGCCGGAGATTTAGACAATGACTAGTCAGCACAAGGCTTCCTGTCTATCTGAGATTTAGACAATGACTAGTCAGCACAAGGCTTCCTGTCTATCTGAGATGACAATGACTAGTCAGCACAAGGCTTCCTGTCTATCTGAGATTTAGACAATGACTAGTCAGCACAAGGCTTCCTGTCAGCCTGAGATTTAGACAATGACTAGTCAGCACAAGGCTTCCTGTCTATCTGAGATTTAGACAATGACTAGTCAGCACAAGGCTTCCTGTCTATCTGAGATTTAGACAATGACTAGTCAGCACAAGGCTTCCTGTCTATCTGAGATTTAGACAATGACTAGACAACAGGAGGCTTCCTGTCTGTCTGAGATTTAGACAATGACTAGTCAGCACAAGGCTTCCTGTCAGCCTGAGATTTAGACAATGACTAGTCAGCACAAGGCTTCCTGTCTATCTGAGATTTAGACAATGACTAGTCAGCACAAGGCTTCCTGTCTATCTGAGATTTAGACAATGACTAGTCAGCACAAGGCTTCCTGTCAGCCTGAGATTTAGACAATGACTAGTCAGCACAAGGCTTACTGTCTATCTGAGATTTAGACAATGACTAGTCAGCACAAGGCTTCCTGTCATCCTGAGATTTAGACAATGACTAGTCAGCACAAGGCTTCCTGTCATCCTGAGATTTAGACAATGACTAGTCAGCACAAGGCTTCCTGTCAGCCTGAGATTTAGACAATGACTAGTCAGCACAAGGCTTCCTGTCAGCCTGAGATTTAGACAATGACTAGTCAGCACAAGGCTTCCTGTCAGCCTGAGATTTAGACAATGACTAGTCAGCACAAGGCTTCCTGTCAGCCTGAGATTTAGACAATGACTAGTCAGCACAAGGCTTCCTGTCAGCCTGAGATTTAGACAATGACTAGTCAGCACAAGGCTTCCTGTCTATCTGAGATTTAGACAATGACTAGAGAACAGGAGGCTTCCTGTCAGCCTGAGATTTAGACAATGACTAGTCAGCACAAGGCTTCCTGTCATCCTGAGATTTAGACAATGACTAGTCAGCACAAGGCTTCCTGTCAGCCTGAGATTTAGACAATGACTAGTCAGCACAAGGCTTCCTGTCTATCTGAGATTTAGACAATGACTAGTCAGCACAAGGCTTCCTGTCATCCTGAGATTTAGACAATGACTAGTCAGCACAAGGCTTCCTGTCAGCCTGAGATTTAGACAATGACTAGTCAGCACAAGGCTTCCTGTCAGCCTGAGATTTAGACCATGACTAGTCAGCACAAGGCTTCCTGTCAGCCTGAAATTTAGACCATGACTAGTCAGCACAAGGCTTCCTGTCAGCCTGAAATTTAGACAATGACTAGTCAGCACAAGGCTTCCTGTCATCCTGAGACAATGACTAGAGAACAGGAGGCAATTAGACAATGACTAGTCAGCACAAGGCTTCCTGTCATCCTGAGATTTAGACAATGACTAGTCAGCACAAGGCTTCCTGTCAGCCTGAAATTTAGACAATGACTAGTCAGCACAAGGCTTCCTGTCAGCCTGAGATTTAGACAATGACTAGTCAGCACAAGGCTTCCTGTCAGCCTGAAATTTAGACAATGACTAGTCAGCACAAGGCTTCCTGTTAGCCTGATATTTAGACAATAGTCAGCACAAGGCTTCCTTGTGTCAGCACAAGGCTTCCTGTCAGCCTGATTTAGACATGACTAGTCAGCACAACAAGGCTTCCTGTCAGCCTATATTTAGACCATGACTAGTCAGCACAAGGCTTCCTGTGCCTGTAGACAATGACTAGTAGCACAAGGCTTCCTGTCTAGCCTGAGATTTAGACAGTATGAAATTTAGACTAGTCAGCACAAGGCTAATTGTGTGGGATTACCATTGACTAGTCAGCCTGAGATTTAGACAATGACTAGTCAGCACAAGGCTTTGTAACAGAGGTAATTGTGTGGGATACATACCATTGTTAGCTACATTTGTAACAGTAGGTAATTGTGTGGGATACATACCATGGTTAGCTATATTTGTAACAGTAGGTAATTGTGTGGGATACATACCACGGTTAGCTATATTTGTAACAGTAGGTAATTGTGTGGGATACATACCATGGTTAGCTATATTTGTAACAGTAGGTAATTGTGTGGGATACATACCATTGTTAGCTACATTTGTAACAGTAGGTAATTGTGTGGGATACATACCATGGTTAGCTACATTTGTAAAAGTAGGTAATTGTGTGGGATACATACCATTGTTAGCTATATTTGTAACAGTAGGTAATTGTGAGGGATACATACCATGGTCAAGTATATTTCTAACAGTAGGTAATTGTGTGGGATACATACCATGGTCAAGTATATTTCTAACAGTAGGTAATTTTGTGGGATACATACCATGGTTAGCTACATTTGTAAAAGTAGGTAATTGTGTGGGATACCTACCATTGTTAGCTATATTTGTAAAAGTAGGTAATTGTGTGGGATACATACCATGGTTAGCTATATTTGTAACAGTAGGTAATTGTGTGGGATACATACCATTGTTAGCTACATTTGTAACAGTAGGTAATTGTGTGGGATACATACCATTGTTAGCTACATTTGTAACAGTAGGTAATTGTGTGGGATACATACCATGGTTAGCTATATTTGTAACAGTAGGTAATTGTGTGGGATACATACCATTGTTAGCTACATTTGTAACAGTAGGTAATTGTGTGGGATACATACCATTGTTAGCTACATTTGTAACAGTAGGTAATTGTGTGGGATACATACCATTGTTAGCTACATTTGTAACAGTAGGTAATTGTGTGGGATACATACCATTGTTAGCTACATTTGTAACAGTAGGTAATTGTGTGGGATACATACCATTGTTAGCTACATTTGTAACAGTAGGTAATTGTGTGGGATACATACCATTGTTAGCTACATTTGTAACAGTAGGTAATTGTGTGGGATACATACCATTGTTAGCTATATTTGTAACAGTAGGTAATTGTGTGGGATACATACCATTGTTAGCTACACATGTAACAGTAGGTAATTGTGTGGGATACATACCATTGTTAGCTACATTTGTAACAGTAGGTAATTGTGTGGGATACATACCATTGTTAGCTACATTTGTAACAGTAGGTAATTGTGTGGGATACATACCATTGTTAGCTACATTTGTAACAGTAGGTAATTGTGTGGGATACATACCATTGTTAGCTACATTTGTAACAGTAGGTAATTGTGTGGGATACATACCATTGTTAGCTACATTTGTAACAGTAGGTAATTGTGTGGGATACATACCATTGTTAGCTACATTTGTAACAGTAGGTAATTGTGTGGGATACATACCATTGTTAGCTACATTTGTAACAGTAGGTAATTGTGTGGGATACATACCATTGTTAGCTACATTTGTAACAGTAGGTAATTGTGTGGGATACATACCATTGTTAGCTACATTTGTAACAGTAGGTAATTGTGTGGGATACATACCATTGTTAGCTACATTTGTAACAGTAGGTAATTGTGTGGGATACATACCATTGTTAGCTATATTTGTAACAGTAGGTAATTGTGTGGGATACATACCATTGTTAGCTACACATGTAACAGTAGGTAATTGTGTGGGATACATACCATTGTTAGCTACATTTGTAACAGTAGGTAATTGTGTGGGATACATACCATTGTTAGCTACATTTGTAACAGTAGGTAATTGTGTGGGATACATACCATTGTTAGCTACATTTGTAACAGTAGGTAATTGTGTGGGATACATACCATTGTTAGCTACATTTGTAACAGTAGGTAATTGTGTGGGATACATACCATTGTTAGCTACATTTGTAACAGTAGGTAATTGTGTGGGATACATACCATTGTTAGCTACATTTGTAACAGTAGGTAATTGTGTGGGATCTGTATCGGCAGGAATACCTGTAAAAAGAAAAAAACAGATGATGGTGATGATTATAACAAATGACAAAATGCTTTACTCATCTCTATGGGGTTTTTTTTGTTTTGTTTTTGTTTTTGTTGTGGGTGTGGGGTGTGGGGGGCACTATGGCACATAAATAGTTAACACTATAACAAGACTGGAAAAATATAAATCTTACTTAGTGAAGTGTTTATAAAAACCAAATAAATCTGAAAATCATAGATTTAACAACATGCCTGATACATAAAACTAACACTTCATGTGTTTGCTACTTTCCTTGGTATACATCATTACATAAGCATATTAAGTTGTGTTTACAAATATCATCACCCCTGTTTTGTATAACACTTTTCAAAATAAATGGCATAAATAAAGATGATTAATTTTGAAACATCAATGTCAAAACTGTTTTAAGAGATAATTTTAGCAGTGTGTGATATCTTCGTGACAAACATAGGTCTAAGTCAGAGTTATAACAAATTTCTTCTTACCTTCTCCAAGTGTCTTTGTTTCTCTCACCATTGTTACTAGATTCTAGTTGCTAGTCTTTCCTGTCCTAGGTCCTAATGAATGGTCAAATCTTAAACACAAAGAAATGGTCATTCATCTCCCTGTGGAAAATCAATTTGTTTGTTTTACAAGCTAGATCTGTACATGTGTACGCTTGTGTTCTTTGTAACTATTTATCTTAAACTGACAATTCCTATCATAAATGTGCTACCATACATTAGACATAAATGTAGATCTAACTTTGTGGTGTAACAGAGCCCATGTCTCAGGGTCATTCCACTGGTCTGTTTGTTACTGTCAAAATCTAAATAACCTGCTTGTGGCCATTTTGTTGTTCCAATCAGTCTCAAAATGAACAATACACAAAGTCTAGGGATCGATGGGACTCTACATAGGAAATCTGAAAATGATCCATCAGTGCTTCTCCAGAAAAACCAATAAAAACGTTTTACTGTCAAAACCTTAGATGGTTGCGTGTAAGTCATTATGTTTCCTAATCAGTCTTAATGTGACAGAGTTAGTCTTAATTAAATTCAACCATACTGTTTGTTTTTGTATATGTGTGATGCAATAGTGTGATGTAATGTATAAGTGTTGTATGATTGGCTACCAGGTTTGGTGCATTGGGTCTTTGTTCCAACACTAGACCTGGACACTTGATTGTCAGACGGAAGAGAAAGCAGCAGTGACAAGAGGCAAGATCTAACTTGTCTTCTCTGTCCTTTTCTTTGTTTTTGGCCCTGCTGTATTTTAATGTTGTCAGCACACAGTATTTTTTTACAAGCAGTAGCATTTTAAATAATATGTATGTATTTGGTTACCTGAGCAATCGCCACTACAATGGCTAATCTGATTGTGTTTTTATCTCTTTAGGACTTATTGTATAAGGCATATGGCAGTATGACACCTGAGTATTCAGCAGACCTAAAATAACTTCTGTCACACATTACTAGGAGAAACAGCTTGTACACTCGCCATTGTAGGATTTTATCAATATGTCCAATGAAATATTGTCGAAAACTGACGCATGTTAAAACTATGTAGTCGGATGTGTTCGAATGCATCCTAATAGAAAAACTACTAAAACTGGCCATAGCACAAGGGTCGGTCACTTGTTTCAGAAACGGTAGGACGAGTGGGGGTTGCGTAGGGTTTTCCCAGTATGTACTTTTGACTTTATAAACATCTATTTATTACACACCGCTCCACAGAATTATGTTATCGTTTTTCAACATAACATACACACGTAAAAACCACCACTGATAAATCAAGAAGCTTACCGTTCAAGTGGTACACACCATCTGTAGATTTTAGCTTCCTTTTTGCATTGCGTTTGGAATTCCCAATCTAAAAATAGATATATCGTTGGAAGTAAAGTACGGTCCGATTAACGAAAATACCGTCCGGGAAAGCATAGTTGCCAAGACTTCTACGTATTTTCCTATTGACTGCAAGCGCGTGTGCATATATAAATCGTAGCGAGGTTTTCCAGGGATTTCTGTTAACTTAAGTCAAAAACTTTGGCATCTTTGAACTTATTTTTAAGATACTGGCGATGGGAGATAATTCCGCATTCTTGTTTCAATGTAAAACATCATAACAAATTCAGACTTCCAGAGTCAAATTATACACATTTACATCAACTTTAAGATTCGTATAATTTAAAATACATATATAACAACGCAAATTATTTTACTTACCAAGGTAAGGAAAATGAAGCAAAGGGAGATAACTCCAACACTAAAGCTGAACATATCCAAGCATGTGTCCAAGGGTTGATATGCACAAAGCCTCGACCGATACTCAGGTTTTGAAATTTAAGTCACTCGAGCTTAAGACGTTTAATGAAATTCAAAACCTTGCTCTAGCTTAAATTTGAAGTCCTTAGAAGTTTGGAATTGGACGTTCCAATTTCAGGACTCTAGGGTCAATGTCACAGTCATTATTTTTTAATCATCGTCAACACCGCCGCGTCTTCATTTCTCGAGGGATTTTCACTGAACTTAGGACACTCATAAAGGCCTATGGTTTTCGGACGAGTTCGAACTTCTGGGTTTTAGTGTCAACGTTAAGACCACGGTCACTTAAACTTTGAAAATCATTGACAACATCCTAGCAGCTTCCTTCCTGAAAGGATTTCGATCAATGTTCACACTCTTATGAAGGATGATAACATCTTGGACGTTTCTGATTTCCATGACTCTGGGGTCAAGGACAAGGTCACTCAGGGTTTCAAGGTTTTGGAATCAGGGTCACATTACCATTTTGTTGAAAATCCTTGTCAGCGCACTGACAGCTTCTTTTTGGAGAGATTTCCATCAAGTTTCACTCACTTATATAAGACTATAATATATTAGGCCTAAACCATATTGAAATGCATGGTTGTAGGGTCACTATCTAGGTCACCGTTACTATTTTTTTTAGAAAATCTTTGTCAGCATTTCATGTATATAAATGACTACGATATCACAGGCGAGTTTGAGTTACATGATTGTAGTGTCAAGGTCACTGTTTTACTGGCAGTAGTCTAGTGGCTTCAATCCGTAAGGGATTTCCATCAAACTCCAGATCATTTGTAATCTTCTTTATTGCGTAAGGTTTTAATACACTAGATCACAGCACTATTCTCAGATTGGCAATATTTAATTATGTAATATATGTGACATTTTTTCGTGTTTAACTACATAAGATAAAATGAAACTGATATTTCAGACCTACTCTTTACATGATACATAGTCAGTAACAGCGATGTGCCTGTATACGGTATAAATAAATGTTTAATATCTTCTACAATTCTGTGTTGATGTTTAACCATTGATTTACAAATAACAAAGAAAATACCAACATGTCAACATCATCAAAATTCAAACTCGAATTCAATCAAACTAGGATCAAAATACGAACAAAGAAAACACCGAAATGTCAACATCATCATCCAAACTCAAATTACATCAAAGTAGGACCAAAACATGATGAGAAATATTTAAACGGAAACCCTTGAAAAAGTACAAGGAGATGGTTAAGACCAGGTGTTTTGGAACAGTAAGCGTCTTATGCTTCATCGACGACACCCACCAGGTAAATCTTGGTCTATCCGAGAAAATTATTCTCAACTGAGAATAATGTATACGACAACAGAACGAAAGTTAAAATCGAATGCTGAAGTCGGTATTATTACACCATTTTAAACCGCATTTCGCATCTTGGTTATCCTTCATGGTAGGCCTATTTGTTGTGCCAATAAGCTGTGACAACTCAAACAACAACGTGACCATATTGAAGTAAAGGTATTCTAATCGAAGTCATCTATAAAGAACGAAAAGGAAAACATAGGGCGGGATATCCATATCCATCTTTCTTTGCCCGTTGTCATGGGCCAGTTTTCGAACGGGAAGGACACAGGGCGTAGGGCGAGCGCAGGAGGGGGTTCTTTTGTCTTTTCTTAACGGCAAAGAGGATACGTGTTGTTTAGTTTAGTTTAGTTTATTACCAGTGCAGGATCGTTACGATTCTCTATACCGGTCTCAGTGATACAATGATAATGATTATAATTATTGTCATTTGAGACGTCAGATCCAGGAACTACAGAATTTCTGCTTTATAATTATATATCAGTTCTTGATTTACCCAGAGTTCATCTAATCTATTTTTGAACGAGTTAACTGTTGGTGCCAATACAATATACTCCAGAAGATTGTTCCATATTTTGACCACACGCAAAGCAAAAGAATGTTTCCTGATGTCAAGTTTACAGTGCTGCATGTAAAGTTTTTTGGAGTGACCCCTTGTCCGCTGAATTTGAACTTTGTCGATCCACAATTTAAGGAAACCAGCAGCGTTACTATCACAAAAATTGTTCATAATTTTGAAGACTTCAATCATATCCCCACGCATCCTCCTGGATGCCAATGTTGGTAATTTTAGGCGTTTCAGTCTTTCCGAATAAGTCAGTTCCTTAAATCCTGATAATTGTTTTGTTGCTCTCCGTTGCACTGCCTCGATCATATCTATATGTTTGACTTTATATGGATGCCATACAGTAATATAATGTTCCAGATGAACCCTTACTATTGTTTTGTACAGTAATGGGAAGTTATGTCCATTGAGAAATTGAAACGTTCTCCTTATTAGTGTAGACATAGAGTTTGCTTTTTTGACTTGTGTACTTATGTGTTCATCAAATGATAAAGAATTGTCTACAATTACTCCTATATCTTTTTCTTGGTAGACTTCCATTAATTCTTCGTTGTTTAAATAATGTTTTCTGTCTCCACTTTGCCTGCCAATGCAGAAAACTTTACATTTTCGAGGAGGAAATTTCAATAACCATTTTTCACTCCAGGCTGAAGTATATTCACATCGGTATTTTCTTTTATGCTTCTGAACAATTTAGTGTCGGCTGCGAAAAGATATGCTTCAGACTGTATTGTTTCCGGCAAGAAATTAATAAATATGACGAACAGTGTAGGTCCAAACACTGGGGAACTCAGGGGAACTCCCGAAGACACATCGGTCCAGTCCGAGTGTTGATCCTTTAACGAGACTCTTTGCTTCCTGTTTGAAATGAAACTCGCCGTCCATTTTACGATCTCCTCGCTAATTCCATATAACTCCATTTTACCTAAAAGTCTTTTGTGTGGCACTGTATCAAATGCTTTTTGAAAATCCATATAGATACAGTCGATTGAGTGTCCATTATCCATATGATCAGTCCACTCATCCGAAACCTTAAGTAGTTGCAGCGACGTAGACCTGCCAGACATGAATCTGAACTGTTTCTTTGAGAAAAAATAGTTTTGTTTCATATAATCAGTGATGTGACTTCTTATTAAAGATTCAAGTACTTTGAACACAATTGAAGTTAAGCTCACAGCTATGTAATTCCCTGATTCGCATTTGTCATCCTTCTTAAAGATTGCTGTTATTTATAATAATAATAAATGACTTTATTTAAGAGTCGATAACACTTTGAGTACAAGACTCATCTAACAAGTGGTCGACAGTAAAATGTACAATATATACAACATTAAGATTACAGCATCACATATGATATAAAAATCACAAATATCACAGTAAACTAGCATAATCATGAAGGACTAAGATGTACATCAATAAAACAAATGTAATGATAAAGGCACATAGTGAAGAGGTATATATAAAGGTTATAGAGTGACTAATAATATAATAAATGGACTGAATTAGCGAGGTTTTGTAAGGGATACAGGACTGATAATTAAAACAATTAATTGGCAACATTCATAAAGGTACCATATTATCTTAGGGCTAAAATAAGACTGGCATAAAAATGTGGATCTAGGTTGGTAAATTGGAGATGATTTTTTTACAACGAAATTTAAAAGTTGGTAAGGTTCCACATTGTCTGATATTTTCTGGAAGCTGATTCCACAAAGTTGGTCCAGTTTATAGGAAGGAATTTCTAAACTTTTCAGTTTTGTGTTAAGGTATGATATAGTTACCAGCAGTAGATGCCCTAGTTTGTCTACTGTGTACACTGGGCACAAGCACATTACAGTTCAAGTAGTTTGGACACAGTTTGATAGCTACTTTTTACATTAGTATACATTAATTGTAGTTCACTCTTTTGCTAAAAGGTAACCATTTGAGTTTGGTGAATAGTTCATCCCCTGATAAAGAGTAGCCAGCATCCATAATTATACGTAGAACTCTTTTCTGTAATCTCTCTAGTTTTTTAATATATGTCTGAGAACAACGTCCCCAAATATTTGAACAATAATCTAGGTAAGGTAGAATGAAAAACTTAAAATAGGTGATTCTTGATGAAACAGGTAAGATCTTTTTAATTCTGCATAACTGATATATTTTGAAATTGGCCTTTTTGATGACATCCTGGACATGTTTGTTCCAAGTAAGGGTATCATCAATGCACACAACTAGGAGTTTTTCATGTTTAACATTTTCCAACGTAAGATCACCAGAATCAGTACATTCAATACATAATTCCTTTGATATTGTTTTTTGTTTTTTTCTGTTTACTGCCTACAAGCATAACTTTGGTTTTGTCTGTATTTATAACCATTTTGTTTGTTTTACACCAGTTTTTCACATTTACAAAGTCAGTGCGCAAACATGTTTCAATAACAGTAGTACATTTGTCAGTTTTCTGCTATCTTTGAATACATCAGGTAACGTATTTTTTAGAAGAAAGAGTAGGGATTTCCATTTCTTCGTCCGGTTCTGTAACAAACACACTTTTAAAATAAGAGTTTAATATATTTGCCTTAACCTTATCATTTTGTTCTTTACGTGATTGTTTATTACCAGGTTCTGTATACAAGTCTCC